CCAAACTGCTAACACAAAGTTGAAAGCACATAATTGTCTAAAATATCATTACATGCTGTGGCCTTGAGGTTTTCTTTCTAAGCCCAAACTATGCTGAAAGCACACAAAGTATGTGTACAAATACGTTTGGCCACAGGGCCCATAGAAGGGATACTGAATTTGTTCATCATCTCATTGATATAGTCAGCAGCTCCCTGGGTTCACACCTTTTCTCATTATCCCGACACTTCGTGTTCAGAGAGAAAAAAAAGTGCAGACTCCCTCTCTCTCTCATCGTGTGTGTGTGTGTGTGTGTGTGTGTGTGTGTGTGTGTGTGTGTGTGTGTGTCTGTGTGTCTGTGTGTCTGTGTGTGAAGTCAAGAGGAGGAGGAGGGGACACAGGGAGGACTGCAGGTGTGTGTCCTCTCTTTCTCCTCTTTATACAGTACATCAGCTGATGGTGAGCGGAGGGCTTTTCCTTTGAGCAGGTCGGTCTTCACAGTAAGTGAGGCACATATATTTAACCTCTTTATATTTCCCTGCGGCTCTGCACACATTCCTCTGACCTCTGCCTTTTCTTATTTTACGATCTACACTCAGTCCACACCTGGGTCAGACAGTTACTGCACAAAATTCTTGGCTTCTGTTTTAACCCACTTAAAGTCTGACTTTATTGTGTTACTCTGCTATGATAAAAATTAAACTTTTTGATATTTTCACTTGATTCTCCTGTGACCCATTGATTAAATGATTGTGTAACACATCTTTGACACTGATTTACACTGGTGCACTTATTTATATTAGAATGTGCGGTTTAAATCTAGATAAGGCTGTCCTGGCACATATGAATGTGATTAAGTAATTATGATGTGACTGGGTTCTAGTTATATAATTTCCCTGACGTGGGTATTTGCGCTGAGGAAGACTTAGTGCTGGGTTGAAATGTTGCCAATAAAGCCTGAGGGAGGTCTGATTCTAGTGTGGAACTTTTCTATTGTATTTTTATTGATCTTTATTTCCTGCATCTCCTCCACTAAAGTATTGTGGCTGTTCCCACGAATACCTTTGACAATGATTGCATTAGCCAGTGTAGTTGAGCTGCCTATTTAAGAACAAATGAAAAGGACAACTGAATAAAACATTTGTTGTGGAAAGGGTAATATCACATTGACTGTCATAAAGAACTTGAATCAAATCTTGTGCCTTGCAGTGATGTACAGAGCTAACATTAGCGTGTTAAGATGCTCACAATGATAAACAAACTTAGTATTAGTAAGCTTAGTAAGCAAGTGCACCATCTTAGTTTAGCACGTTAAAGGTTCAGTGTGGAACATTAAGGAGGATCTAGAATGGAGTATAATATTCATAGGTATGTTTTCATTAGTGTCTAATAACCTGAAAACGAGAATTGTTGTGTTTTCGTTACCTAAGAATTATCCAATTTTATCTACAGAAGAAGTGAGTCCTCTTCTACCACCATGTCCGCCATGTTGAACCGCCAGAATGGACAAACCAAACACTGACTCTTAATAGAGCCTGTCATGTTTTTGCCAGTTTTGCAGCCTCCATAGCCCTACATGCTTGGTACATTGTACTACACCCTGGTCCTTTAACATGGTAACGTTAACCAGTTAGCACTAAGTACAGCTGAGGCGGATGGGAGTATCATTTTGTGGGTATTTGGTCAGGAACCAAAGAATTGGACTATTTTGGTCTCATGGTAGCGTCAGATGAAAAGTAAGAGGATCACCAAAGTCATTAGGATTCATCCTCTTGGAACCATCTATTCAAAATTTCACAGCAATCCAGTCAATTGCTCAACAATAGTTGTTGAGATATTTTAGTCTGGATTAGAGTTGGACCAGTGGTGGAGAGCTCCAAGATCTCCCATAGGTGATCAATTGATTTTAGATCTGGTGACTGTGAAGGCCAGATGATTCATGCTATTTGTATACGCATCAAACTATCAAATGGCCCCTGGTGCCTTGTATGCGGGTGTGGCAGTAAAGGGGCTAAAGGGGGCTCAGTTGTATTTTTTTCCCCCGGCTTTTTAAGCTTTTTGTCTCTAAAGAAAAATAGCAAAACCAACTAAATGATTGGCTTCTGTACTTGTTACTATCGTGTGCTGTTCATAGTACTGAAGCGGAGTGGAGGAGATCAATAGACAGACAGGACACACCATGGGTTTCTTCACCTGCTTGCTTTTCCTGAACGTTTTGTGATTCTCCCATTGCAGCAATCTACTGACAGAAGGCAAACGGCAGGGAAGTGAAGGGTCAGCTGTTACCTGCCTTCTCCTGCTGATTCTGTTCATAAATTAAAAAAATATTTAGCACTCTGCCAGTGATACTTTCTTATGTCAGGGCTTTGATTATTAATGTATTCTTTCATTTTGAATCAGTAGCCTTATGTTGTTGTTATTCAGCCTTTTCTGAAACTATTGCATTGTTAAATCTATACTATATCATTTTAGGGGGAAAAAAACAGCCCCTTCAGTCACTCATCCTGGCGCCTGACCTGCTTGTATGGAGGCATCTGCTGTCCTAGTTTCCCCACACATTCATTCAGGTTTTTCCTTTAATGTGTCATGTATTTAAAAATTCAATTTTGTGATACACACATTAATGTCCCCCTAAGGATGAACTGTGAAAACTTTGGTAATCATTCTTCTTTAATTTGTCACCCATCTGCCCCTCTAAATTAAATTTTGTGGTAAATCAACCTGACTTTCTCCCTGCTTTCCTCTGAAAACCACAGCCTGGATTAATTGAATTTCATGCTACAGATGTATGTAAATCCATACTGTGGCCAAGGAGCGAAAGTGGTTGGACTGAAAATAGCCTGCAGCCAGTCACAACTTCTAAACCAGTGAATCAGTTCAACTGGAGGTCAGTGTGTCTAAAATGAAACACAATTAGTTTAGCCTTGTGTTGCTCATTTCATGTCTCTGTACTTCCCATCACTTCTGTGTTCTTGGCTGTCTCTCCTCATCTGTCACGATACATCCTTCCCTTTTAGCCCTTCTCCACTACTGCTCTTCACTCCTCATTCAGCTGCTGCTGAACTAATAAAACCAGAGTGACAAGAAAAATATAAATACTACGAAGCTCTGTTGTCAGCCTCTGTGTTATTACATTTGTGAAGTCAAATTTAGTAAGGCTGGAAGCAGATTGCTAATTTGTTATTTCCCCTAAAATAAATTATTCCCCCCCCCAATCACGCTCATATACAGCCTGTATTCAACATAGACAATTAATATTTAGTGATTACTCTCTGTTCAAAACACCAACTGAGCTGCCTCGATGACCTTTTTGCTTTGCGTGTAAAGCGCACAGTATCACCCACCCCCAAAGATTACATTTGGACAGGGATGTTAAGCTTGAGTGAGATACTGCATGAAAGGGACAGATGGATGAAGGAATGAACAAACATTTGTTCATTTGTTCGTCCATCTGTCCCTCACACGCATTATCACGGACATAGTTGATAAGGTTTGGACAAAAGTGGGAGTATAATGATGCATCCCACCACCACACTCTTGATAATGTCACAATTAACACAGTGAATGGTTAAAGAGCGTATCTATGGCGCAAAGAGAAAATACCTGATGGTTTTCATAACAATTACTATTGTCAGAAGTAGAAAATATCTGAGTACATCTACTCAACTACAGTACTAAAGCACAGTTTGGAGGTACTTGTATTTTACTTCTTCTACTTTTACAACACTACAGGGAAATATTGCACTTTTTACTTCAGATGTAGTGTTTACAAAACATGTGATGAGTTTAAACATGATATGACAAACAGCATTATAATAAAGTAGTGTAGTGCTGCAGAGATGCCCTAGCCTACAAATCTTGTTCTCCAGATCTCCAGAAAAAACATGTTTGTTTGGTAAAACTTATTGTGATTCACTAATTGTGATTCATGCAAACATAATTGCAATATAATATTTTTTTAACATATCATGCAGCCCTAATTATAGATTAAACTACCGAACAGTAATGAAGTAGTAAATAAAAATTCCACCTCGACCAACTACAACATTAAAGTACTGCTTACACATTAATACATTTATTATTTATTTATTCATCTGTAATATCTACTGAAGGTGTTCTATAATTATCTCTCCATGTAATAGTTTTTAATGGCAGTGGCGGAGTCTGCCATTCCCTGGCAAATCCCTGCTGGATTTAGATGATGTACCTAAACCTGACGATGTATGCATGTAATCCAGTGCAATGTAATCTCATTGATAACAGCCTCACTGTTTACGGTACACTTTCTTTCCACTGTGTCAGAGCTGTAGTTTGTTACATTCTACTGCTACTGCTTCATATATAAAGTGTTCAGCTGGCAAAACACAGTGCGGCTATTACTGTGAAGCAGCCACAGGAAACAGTTACAAGTTTTAAAAAACATGTTTGTTTGCTTCTTTCAGAGATGTGAAGATCAACCTTAAATGCCTGTGCATTAAGTATATAGCACATTTGTAACTCATTTATGAGGTTTAACGAAACGTGTCAAAGTAAAAACTGGATGTGCGTCTAGACATTTTAAATGCCTACGTCTAAGTATACAACTCCCAGGGTGTTTAAAAAGCCTTCAGTTTAATCCATCTTCAAAGTGTTGTGGTTTGTTTTGTTGAGGATGTTCCGGGGGGGGGGTGTGCAGCTGAATCGATACACGAAGCCACCCGCACCACTGCTGAAATCCAGTGCTATCTTCCTGTTTGTGCATTTGGAGTTGAAGGATCAAGGCAAATGTTGGACTTTCTGCTCAGACATTGATGTGAAATCAATTATTCAGGGAACCTTCCCAAATGTTAGTGCGTAGGTAGCCGAGTCATCTCTTAAACAGCAAATAAAAATGTCTTGTTTACTTATGGGGATAAGTGGTTTGTTTATTTGCAGGGCTTCGCTCTGGTCAACCGCCTGCTCTTTACCAAAAGACTGCACCTTTTCCTCTGCACTGCTAGTCTGTGTGTGTGTTGTTTATCCCTCTGGAAACAAACAGGCTCCCTTCTTCTGTCTGTGTGATGCATCTGTGCCATGTGCCCGCCGAGGTGAGTTGTCTTGTTTGTGTGTGATGCAGTCGACTTGCTGATGTCATCAAGTGTTTGTTGCCTAAATCTCCCAAGAGAGACGAGGGGGGCTAGAGCGTTTCGTCTGAATCATCAGGCTTGTCAGTCACAGGAGGAGCCTGGTAAGCTCTGAACTGCAGGTGATTTGGGACCCACGGAGCGCCGGCAACTATTATAAACATGAATAATACATAGATGGTTGATTATTAAAATGAGTTTACATCACTGTAATCACCCTGCGTGTCACCCTAAATTCCTGATTTTGTCTACCTTTCTCTCACAGTGGTTGGTAATTCCCCGCACCTCTGAATATCCTTTTCTTTATTACTCCTTTGCTTTCTCATCATCTCTGCTCTGCTCCTGTCTCATCCCATTTGTAATTTCTCGTATTGTATCTTGCCTTCTCTCCTCTTGACCCCGAGATCACCTTCAGCGCATCCATTCCCTTCATCTGGTCTTTCCCTCTTCATCTACAATCCTATTTTGTAGATTTGCTCCAATTTGTTTTTCTGAAGTCCTTATGTACCATCGTCTCTTTCTTTTTTCCATCTGCTCGACACTCTTGTGCCATCACACCTGACAGATCCTCACCTGTACCATGCCTGCCATAGTCAACCTCCTTTTCAACGTTGTCTCCACCAACACCACCATCTCCTTCTCTGTGGTGCTGCCCATGGTCAGCCTGGTCTCTCTTGTGGTGGGACTTGGAGGTCACCTCCTGCTGTGGCTGGTGCTAGTGAGGAACCCTCGCAGTCGCTCCAAGCCCAGCTCCGTCCTGCTCCTCAACCTCAGCCTGGCAGACCTGGGCGCCCTGCTCACCCTGCCCTGTGTCCTTCTGAGTGCCAGTTTCCAGAACTGGCAGCTTGGTGGTGGGACCTGCGTCCTCCTGGGGTTCACGACTTCAGTGACAGTGGGAGTGGAGATCTTCAGCCTGGCGGCGTATTCTGTGCTGAGGTATCGTATTGTTGCTCCCCGGATGAGACCGCCTGCTAGCCTGACACAAGTGTGAGTATTACTTTGCGAGCAGAGGTGGGTTTGAGGATGTCTGAGGGGGTTGTGTCCATACAGTGCTGGCAGGGCGCTGGGATGAAGCGCTTGTGTGGTGAGAGAAAGAAATGAGGGTTAACTACACAGTCAGCTAACAACAAGCTCACAATGCGCCGAGTGATTAAAACACAACACTCACCAACAACATTCAGTGTCAGGACGATCTGCTCCCACAAATGGGCTTTTCTCTTTCTGTTATGATGTTTCTGTCTGATATAAATCTCTGGATAGATTGCCCACAAGCCTCTCCATTATTGTCTTGGTTACTAGGGTGACAAGTCCTGCCCTTTCTATGATTGCATATGTTTTCTCCTCATTGGGAACTATTGAAAAAAGATGCTGGTACTCAGAAAGAAACATTGTTCTTAAAAAATAAGGCGGGTGATATTATTTGTCTTTTTTTAATTTTTAAAGTCCAGTGTGTAACATTTAGGAGGATCTATTGTTAGAAGTGGAATATAATATTCATAAGTAGGCTATGTTTCCATTAGTGTATAAGCACCTTATATAGGAATCATTATGTTTTTGTTACCTTAGAATGAGAAGCCATCTTGAACCACCATGTTTCTACAGTAGCCCTGAACGGACAAACCAAACACTCCAGATAGGGCCCTTTGTGTATTTTGTTACCATAGTCTATCCACACACTTTACAACCCGTTCTCATACCCAGGTCATCAGATACTGACGCCAACGGTGTCTCCAGTAGGAACAAATGGTCTTGAGACAGAAAGCTTTATACTTTAAAAGAGTATCCCAGTGATTTGGCATTGCACTCCTCATACTCATGATGTTTAACAATATGTTTTATTTTTAATCCATGCATTTTTTTTTCTTGTCAAAACCTGATGCCTACATTACCCACAATGCAACTCCTCCACCAACAGTTTTGCTAGAGATTCTGCTGTGTTAGGTTAGTAGCGCCTAATGTAGACTTGAGCCTCAAGCAAAGTAAATAATACCAATACCGTCAAATCAAACTGTCACTTTTCTTCCCATCAGATCCTGGTCCATGTATTCATGCAGCATATAAGTGACCTATTTCTTCTTGCACAGATGTGATCCCCAAAATAAACAAATAAACCTAAATCTGTCTTCCTCTTTCACAGGTTATGCACTGTTGTAGCCATTTGGCTGGTCTCAGTAGCCATGGCATTACCCAAGGTCACCTACATCAACTTTGACGGGGGTTGCACATGGGCAGTGAGCCGCAACGAGTGGCTGTTATTCCTAGTTCCTGCCTTCCTGGTTTATTATGTTGCCCCTCTCTTCTGTATTGCTGTCAACTGTGGCCTCATCATATCTCACCTCCATGGCTGCAGGGGAACTCTGGCCGCCGACAGGCGCAACAAGAAAGCTACCGCTCTACTGATTGGTTCAACACTGGTTTTTGCAATTAGCTGGTTGCCATATTATGCACTTGAGTTTGTCAATGTTATGTCCCCTTATGTTAGCTCAGAAGCATCTCCCATTAGTAGATTTGGGCGTACGCTATCTTCAACTTTGTCTCCATCGTATTTGTCCTCACCTGGGCCAAGGGAGGAAAAAACAAGGGTGTCTTTGATGTGGGAGGTGGCATCCCTGACAGCCATTTTGTTGGTGTGTCTGGCTCCATGCTGGAACCCGCCACTCTACTTCCTGTTGTCACGCCCAGCTGTGCGCCAGCTCCGAGCTCTGCTGCCTTCCTTCGTCCACAAGCACTTGGGAAAAAAACGTGTGGAGCGCTGGCGTATTGCTCCTGCTCCTCCCCAACACCTGCCACACCCTCAGCCTCCTGAACTTACTCACCAAACTCTGACACACGGACTGACTCAGTGACATTAGCACACAGACAACTGTGCTCACTCACATATCCCCATGACACGGCTATTCATATTTGCCATCAAAGAAACATTGTTCATCAAAATACATGAGTCACAACGTGCTTTGTGTACACATGCTATTGTGTTTGTTTAAATGCTTATGTGGTCATAGCCATGTCCCCTTTGCTTTTGTAACATTACAGTAAATGTATGAAAATGCTCCAGGCAACAGTGTGTGAGCCTCTCAGATATATGACAGTGTATCATAAACACAATGCGTTATGTGCCATAAAAACACAAGGTTTATATTCCTCATCACAATTCCGGAGTCACTGAGCAACTCACTGTCCTGGCAGTATGAAGCTTGCAGCGCGGAGAGCCTCCAATTCAAAACCATTTAAGAGAACATTATACGGCAAAACAAAGGCGTTTCTGTTAATATCAAAGAGCACATTACTGTTTAGAAACCCAGGTCACTGAACTTAAAGAGACGTGTTTAGAGCTCCCACGTGGGACCTGAAAAAATCTTAACAGCCTTTTTCAGGGACTGAGGGACGTCTGCTAAGCCCACATTGACTGTCATGAACCATCCAAGCAAACCAGATTCCCCATGGAGCTTTTAATCAGCCATCCCTGAACCGCAGTCTGATAAGTATGATATATAGCATGTGCACTGTATGAACAGAGCTATGTCTGCTTCAAGAGCCTCTGTAAGATGTTACATTGCATCTAGATTACGACAAGTAATACAACTTTGTAACCCTATTACTAAGCCGGCTGACAGAGCAAAAACACCAGGGACACAGTGCGCCGTGCCTGCCTCGCTGCAAAGCTCTTGGTTGGTTATCTAAATTCAGTGTCATCTTAATAACCTGGTGAAAAGAGGCCTCTTTGACTTATGAGAAGTATTAATAAAAGCTGACTTGTTTTGCTCGGGAAAGTGCTTATTAAATAGGGATTTGACACAAGGGATCACATCAGAAGATGACTGCATTGGAAAATAACTTCTTAACAAGTGGAGACCATCTGCATCTGGAGTGGTTTAATATCTCAATGTAAAGGCTGTGTTATGTACTTGCAGTGGTCAGGAGCTTTGTTTTACAAATTGGCTAAGGACAAGTAATTGGATTTCTTTGTTGTCAGGCTATTCGTACTGCGAGATGTAAAGCAGTGATTTAAATATATTGGAATGCTGGAATCAGTTGAGCCGCCCTAAAATATTAATGTTATGAGTTTGTTTTGCAACTAAAATGGAAATTGCTCAATTTTTTAATCCAACACACACAAGCATATTCAATAAAGTAAGAGTTCAACATCTTTCTTGCTGAGAGTTGAATAACAAGATTGGTACCACACTATCTGTGTGCTGAATATGAAGCTATAGCCAGCAGTCGGTTAGCTTAGCTTAGCATAAAGACTGGAACCAGGGTGAAGGGTTAGGGTTAGGTGAAGGGTTAGGGTTAGGTGAAGGGTTAGGGTTAGGTTTAGGGTTAGGGTTAGGTGAAGGGTTAGGTTAATCAGACTCCAAAGGTAACAAAATCAGCCAGACTTACAAGCACCTCTCGTAGTTCACTAATTAACACGTAACTTCCTTTAGCCTCTGTTGGTTTCCTGTATAGGCCGATTTTGCTTCCACCCCATTTCCTGTCTGTACGCTAAGCTAAACTAGCCGGCTGCTGGCTGTAGCTTAATATTTAGCATACAGATAAGTTTGTACATCAGTGAACACCTTCTGTATGTAAATAATAGCTATCTAAGACTGATCTTCTATACATCAATTTTCACATGCTCATAGTAGTACTACTTTATTTATTTAACAGTTTCATTTCACAATAACACACATGCATTCATATTTATGACTGTTCCACTGTGATTGTACCTTATATGATTGTATATGACAAATAAACTTGATTGATTGATTGATGATGATTAATAACGTAATCTATGACCTTGTGGGTATCATTTTATTGACAGACATAAATCCTATCTTGGTTACCTCTTGACCTCCTGACATCTCCCATACTGCACCACTGCACATTCTAATGACAGACTGGAGTGTTTCCATTAGCAGGGAGTGGGCTGCTTTTCGCCGATACCGTCTTGGTGGCTAATGAGAGCACTTATCTCTGTCATCTGTCTGCACTGTGATCCTCTCACACGGTGCAAGGCACTAGCGAGCTCTGATGTCCTGATGAGACTTAATTAAGTCTGCAGATTAGTGAAAGCTTAAAATATAAGTCATGCTCAGCAGGCCCATTGAGAGGATCCTTTCCCAGTGTTTACTGAGGCCCTGACGTGTCTGGAGGCCTGTTGTAGTTTTTGAAAACCCTGTGAGATCAGCCAGCTAAGAACAGCGGAGAGCAGAATGGGCTACAAAGTGAGGCTGAGAGGAGATTAATAACCAAGGGATTCAGGAGATGGTTATTATAACAGAAGGCGCTTCTCATCATCTAGATGGGCATTTTGGAGAGGTATTGATTCTTTGAGAGTGACACTTTCCACTTAATGGCCTTAAGAGGATGGCAGGTCTCTCAATGTCATTGAACAGTATTTAAATCCCGCAGGAAGCGTCTGTTTATTAAAAAGAGCTATAGACGAGTAGTGATAGTGAAATAAGCCTTTAGCCAAGCCAGTATGTTCACACAGCATGATTGATTCCCAGCAATATGCCCACGATTGTATGTGTACATTTGGAAATAGGCAGGAGGAACATACGCTACCTTTACTACATTTTCAAATTTCATTAATCTGTGTGGATGCATATTTCATCTGACAAAATTGTTTTTTTCTTTCTCATTTTTCAACAGTTTTTTTATTATGATTTGAATGTAGCTTTGGTTAAAATGAGTTACAAGACCTGATTTAAGATGTTTCCTCCTTTTAGACTAAATAAACCATCCATTGTTTTGGTCTCCACCAACTTAAGGAAATACCTGGCTCTTTAGCTGCTAAAAGCTCCATATGTTCATCAGCTACTCGATAACTTCTTCTGCCATTTGGTGGTAGGCGGCTAGCTTACAGTGGGTTTAACAGAGATTTTTTGTCATGTGAACCATTGACATTATATAAATATTGATAAATGTAGCTTTAAATGCTCTAAGGTTTAATAGTTGAACATTTGATATGTTCTTTAAGTTTTTAATTGTATGTACAGAGAATTATGGCCTTAAGCTGAGTGTTGATAATGCTTGTACTTGAACAACGTGGAAACAGTGGAAAATAATGTAATTCATCTTTGAAATACACGTATGCAATGGTGACTGCCGACAAACTGCTTGTTTGGTCTCCTTGTGTTAAAAGACCAGTGTGTAGGATTAAGTGGAGTCCAGCAGTGACATTGCAGATTGCAACCAACCGAAACCCCTTGACTCAACCAAGTGCGAAGGTGATACTATGGTGGTTGTGAAACTCGCAAAAAACATGAAAAGCCCTATCTAGAGCCAGCAGCGTAACAAATTTGTGATTGGTTCCGGTGCAAATATTTTTCTTGTGCCCACCTCCCTCTGCCCCAGCAAAGTCATTAACAACACTGCTCAAGTCCAAATACCTCGCTCTGCTGTCCCTCTATAGATAAAAACGGCCCATTCTAAGATAACCAAAACGCAGTTGTTATTTTCAGCAGATTATACATTAATGAAAACATACCTATGAATATTTCATTTCAGCCGATAGATCCTCCTAAATGTTACACACTGGACCTTTAAACTATTCTAATATTTCCAAAGCACACTGTGAGATAGAGCTGTAGGTTTATAAAAATAACTTTTTGTAATTTTTGCTGAAACTTTTCACTTTATCTGTGAAAACTTTTGATTCCTTTGGCTCCTCCTAATACATCTTAGGGTATTTGCAGCATCTTTGCCTGAACAAAAATAACCAGTCACAGATGATAATTTGTTTGTATTTGCCACCAACCCAAAGTGTCTTTCTATCTCTCCCAGCTCTGATTGGTTTGTTTGTCTTGAAATTTCCATTAGCAGCACTAGGAGGAACCAGAGGAACCAGATTATTTCACAGACAATCTGTCTCATTTACTACTGTCAGGATATAATAAAACTATGACAAAACGTTATTTTTAGAGTTGAAAGCTTTAACTTCCTCACCTTTGAGACCAAATGGGGCACCTTTTGTCTAGTAGTGAGTTCTTATATAAAACTAATAAAGAAGACATAGAATATTTATCTCGGGTCACCAAAAGTAGTTTTGACTTAATCTATTGATTTGTTTAATCTATTGAGTTATTCATTCAAGACAGTGGCTACCGCATTGAAAGACATTGAATATTCACACTGCAACTCATTAAAAGTCATCATAAAAAACAGAGGTCTGAGTCAGAGAGAGAACCGGCCTTTCTTAACATTACTGGCAAGTAGCATTTCACTGTGTCTGGCCTGTAAATTGGAACTTGCAGACCAAAACTGTAAGGGGGGAGAATAGCACTGCCATTCATGCTGGATTTATTTCATATTAAAGATGGTTGATGTGAGCGTTCTACTTGCAAACATCAATGAGGTCAGCTTCAAGGTGGTACAGTGATTGGACACTAACATTCTGTATATTCAACACAGCAGGTGAGTAATAATAGGGTTTGTAACATGCATGGCAAGAGGCAAAAGCCTTCTTAATTCCAGGTTTGGAAGAATGACACACAGTGAAGAAGGGGGATATGACAAACAGGAGAAGAGTTTGCGGAAGGTAACAGAAAGCATTAAACATTTTTTATGTTTAATGCTAGTGCAGGCATAACCTTAGCTTGGAGACTAACAACATTAAAACTGTACCACCATCGACAACAAGGACATCGCTAAAAGCAACATTACATGCGTCACTGATGAGGAAGCCTTTGTTTTTATGCATCTGAGAACCTTTTGCTTATCTGCCAGTCAGTTTACAATATATAACTTTTGAAAGCACAGAACGGAAGACGATTTTCTTCAAATTGCGAGCAGTAAACTGGAGTGAAAGCAGCTTTGAAACTCTGAGACAGAGTGTGACAGAGAGACTTGTTATGTTATGGGAAGTTGATATTATTTTGTACATATTTGACGGATATGATCTGGGACTGAGATGTTGTCAGTCCAAGAGGGGTTTTGTAAATAAATTGAACCAATGAATTTTTCAGCGAGTTGCCAGTTAGCTAATGCACACAGTCACAGAGGGTGTTGCACTGGCAGCACTGGTGATGGACTTGAAAGCTGAGTGGTACAAAACATCAGATCTTTCAGAAAGCACCCTTTGCTGCAAACTGCCCTTTTTTGGGAAAAGCATTTTCCACCTTACAGTGCAGTCAGGAATATAACAGAGATAGATTGCTTGGATCTAAGATACCCAACCAGAATCAAACTGGGGGACTGTTATTCATTCTAACCAAGCTTTCACTGTGTTGCGGTGACCTTTGTAATGTCTATGTATACATAGCTAATGCACACAGTAACATATACTTACTTTGGATACACTGGCTTTCCTTATTGGTTAATAATTCAATGCTTATGAAGTAAAACTGGGATCATTCATAACCAACAGAAACCCAAATCCACATTCTGAGGCATTTTAAAGCTTTGGTGTTGAGTGAACAGCTTGTTCAGAGGACTCATTATTCTCATTTGAGGTGAATACACCATCAGCTGCATTATTATCCAGGTACCTGCAAACATCATTGTGACTCACAAAGCATTGTAGCAGTTTTTTATTTTTTATCAGCAATCATTTTTTATTTAGTTCTTATGAAGGAATAAAACAGATTTATATGCTGCTATTCATAACAACTAGTGGCTAATTTATCTTATGAGAGATGATCACTTATTTCTAGCAATGTGTTCTTCTATAAACCTTAAGTACTGCAGAAGGCTACGATTAATGTTCTCATTTTAAATTAAACGCACTCCAACAATTTAGCCTTGCACTCTTGTTAAGCCTCACAGGAAGCAACTAATGAATCTTCACTCTGTGTCTAAAAGTTGCAGATTGATTGACGGGTGAATGTCGTGATATTATTGGTTAAAATCGGTTAGTACATGCTAATGTAAGCACGTGTCACATTTTGTTTTACAGGAAAACAAAATGATTGGACTTCGATATAAAATACGAAGTAATTGAGTTTTTGTAGATGTATTGCATTGTACATACATTGTTAAATAGGGGTACAATATAACCAAGCAATTGTAGAAATTACACTTTTCATTTCACCTGGACTTTAACATGCAAGCTCAATCCAATATAACCTAAACTGATCATCAGGGTTATCTTTTTACAGAGAGCAGTAGTCCTTGTGACAACATGTGTAAGCTTGGTGGACTACCACTTTAAAACCTTATGAAAGCTAATGTAAAAGCTTCTCTTTATCAAAAGATTGGGTGAAAACATCAATTATTCTCTCCTCTGTGCAATAGAGGCAACATTCCCCAAGAGGCGTCCCTCTGCTGCCCTCTGGCGGCCGCCCCACATCACAGCGACAAAAACAGATTGTCTGCCGTCAAACCTGCTAGAAATAAACCGGGAAGAGTCCGAATCGGCCTTAAGATGCATAATTGAAGGAACCTGTGCATCTGAGCTGGTATTTACACCGGAAGTTAGGAAATGACGGGCACTCCTTCACTAGCCCCTCACCATCATCCCTCCCTCCACCTCCAACCCAACCCATAGGAAGATCACTCTACTCACTCAAGGACGCGCCCCCCAATACACACTTTGCAGGAGAGAGAGAGAGAGAGAGAGAGAGAGAGAGAGAGAGAGAGAGAGAGAGAGAGAGAGAGAGAGAGAGAGAGAGAGAGACATGCAGGTACTAACGGGAGGTGGGGAGGGAAGCGCAGTCGTTGCTGGCCGTCGGGACACCAGGAGAACAGGAGGGGATGTGTTGTTGTTGTGCCGATGGCTTTCTTTCTTCTTCCTCTAAGAACTCGCCACTTCCTCCAAACGGAGACGCAGGTGTAGCCTCTTTAGCCTCCCTCCACCCTGCTGCTACCTTTCCCAGTTTTCCATGCGCCGCGCCTCTCCTTTCAAGTCACCAAAGGAGGATTTTACGCGCCGGAGTGGGAAGAAATAACACCATGTTAAATGAAATGTGGCGCGTGTCTTTTGAGCGCCGTACGTTACCGCGGCTGTGAATGTGAAGCCGGGTCTGCACCCAGCACAGATGACTTGAACCGGGCGGCAGAGGCGGTTGCAACTACAGCACTTGTTCCATAAAGAGAAGACTCATTGATAACCATGGCTGACCAGGTAGGGGCGAAGCATGTTTTCCACCTCCATCCATCAAGCCCACCTCGTGCGCTCTGCACAATAGACTAGACTACACGCGCACACCAGGTAGACACACACACACCCTCCAATGTGTGTATCTGAGAGAATAGCAGGAGATCTAGTCTCAGTGTTTTTGTGCAGTTTCTCCCTGTCACACTATCTGTGTGTGTGTGTGTGTGTGTGTGTGTGTGTGTGTGTGTGTGTGTGTGTGGGAATTCAGTTTAGAGTTTGGAGCCTTTTTCCACCCTCAGGATATGATTGGAATATTATTGGAGACTTCCAGTGTGTCTGCACTACTCACTACTGACTTTATAGTAACCTTTATGTGCCAGTGTACATGTACTGGGTTTTCTGTGTGAGATGGTTCAAGGATATGTTGTGATATTTGCAATCTGTAACGGGTTGCAGTTAAAGGTGGTCGATCCATCGACCTGTCTCTCTCTCTCTGTCTCTCTCTCTCTCTTGGTGGACCATTTTATTCCTCCTAGATCATTTCATAGATACTCATAGGTTTGGAAGAATCCAAAGTACAGTAGACAGAACTAGGCTGCAGCTGGCAGAGAAGCAGCAGTCAGGGTAATTGGGCTTTAACGACGGAAGAGTAAAAACATTGCCTGTAGTATTAATTTTGTATTGTGCCCTGTTGTTTGCCCTAGTTTCTCGGCAGCCTGGCGAGAGAGAGAGAGAGAGAGAGAGAGAGAGAGAGAGAGAGAGATTAACCCCTGGCTCAGCCCGCGGTCAGAGTTTCCTCTCTGCATGTACAGCTCCCCTGAGCGCCGCTGACAATAAAGGCCATGCTTAATTGATTAGCTCGTTCAATTAACCTAATTGAGCTACCTGAGTGGGTCTGTGAGAGTGATGTATGGGTGTGTGTGTGTGAGAGAGAGAGAACGTGTGTGTGTGTGTGTGTGTGTGTGTGAAAGCAGCCACACCTCAACTGCATGTATGAATAAAACCATACTGTATGTACTATAATGTCCTATACTTAACTACTGTAAAACTTCTAATAATAGCCCGGGCGTTTATTTGCTTAAATCACTGAAACCCCCCTGCCTTTATTTGGGACAGGCGTCTATTTGGGACAGGCGTTTAATTCCTTTAGCACAAAACTAACTCAAAATAAACTCTAACTGCAGCTTCTCTTGAGATTTTTGTTCAGCAAATTTGACAACTAACACGATTATTCTGATCGCTTCAGAGGTTTTTTTCCTTCTCTCTTGTTTACCATGTAAGTCAGAATGAATTAACGTTATACTTTGTTGTGGATCGTTTTCGTAAAATATAGTGAACGATTGAATTGTGGAGAATCTATAACTGATCTAATGATGTGCAGCATGTACATATTGACAGAAGTTTAAACATTTATATTTGTGTAGGAGATTGAAACAACTTAAAACTCGCTCAAGCGGGCGACCCGTGGGTTTTAAGAGGTTTTTTACATCGAGATAATTTCTATAAAATCCAGACCCGGCCTCTATTGGAGACCTGCGTCAATTAGGGACCCTGCTTTATTGGAAGTTTTACGGTATACAACACTATATTACACTACACTGTACTGTACTGCAGTGCATCACTTTACTACAATACTACAATATACTGCATTACAATACAATACATTACACTGTACTGTACTGTACTGTACTATACAGTATATCACACATCACACTATATACTGAACTACTTTACTAGACCGTGCTACTTTGAAACATATAATCAAACAACAATAGTCTACCACACGATACTACATTATATTACACAGTACTTTATTATACTGTATTATACCATACTACTATACTATACTATAGCGCTGGGCAACAGGATAACAAAAATATGTAGCAGTATTTTGTATTAATTCTGGCGGTTTCAAGGTATATTACAGTATTTTTCTTTTGCATGACTGGGCCTTTATATAGGTTTATAGAGGTTCTTTCTACTGTCGAGAGGAGTACAAAGAATATAAATACATTTTAATGGCATCATGTATGCTGAAGGCTTTGATTACTATAGGGTTTTCTAAATAAAATACAATAATATAAAAAAAGATAGAAAGATACTTGTATAAACACTATGAACTGACATAATATACTCAAGTATTTAAGTATTCGAAAATATCTATTGCACAAGTAAGAAACGTAAGAGTTGTTGCAGCTGTGCACCAGTATGGCAGTGGATGAAAAATGTATTATAGGGGACATTAAAACTGGAATACAGGTTCATCTGGAATATTGCCAACCACTACTATACTACACTAGACTACACTATACTATACTATACTATACTATATATATTATACTACACTACACTATACTATGCTATACTATTACTTTATTATTCTGTACTATTACTATATTATTCTCTCCTAAACTACACTATTCTAAACTATACTAGACATACATACTTTACTGCATATATTTTACACTAAACAATGGTATTAATGCTATACTAAGCTAATTATACAGTATTTAAAGGATGGAAACCATGTAATGTTGATGCTATAGGAGACAAAGTTACCACTTTATAAGGTACACCTGCACAATTTAACAATCTAACCCAATCCAATCCAAGTTTAAGCTGCCCTGAAATAAAGTTCATAATCTCTAGTGTTCGTTAACACTGTGACGGACAGGTGTCGATTCACCTCACTGTGATCCGTGAGACTTTCCACTACGGTAGTGATGAACTGGGTTGCATTATATTCAAATATGTTCTTGTTGTTGTGTCAATCCCCTTTAACTTAGCACCAATACTGTACTTAGCTTGGCCACAGGCGGATACTGGGCCACAGATGCCCAGGGGTGCGGCTGGAGCTAGATTAATTGCTGTATTAATATTGATGAGGGCCGTCTATGGTTGACCTGCTGCGGCTGCAAACACACACACTATTATGCAAATGCACACACACACTTTTTCTCAGCCAAACTATTGTTCTGGAGGAAACCGTTGACAGCTTTCCCTTTTTTTTTAGACAACTAGGGATGGAGATCAAGACTTTATGTTTGTGACCTATTTCTGTGTGAATTCATGCTGAAGTCACAATGCACACACTGTGCAGTATAGAGCCACCTGACCACACTTATGCCCTTATTACCCACAGCTGCAGCCTCTTTTCCTCTGTCCTCTCTCTCTATGTGTCTTTATCAAACTGTTGTCTTTTAGCATCCTCTTATCTTATGTCACCCCCCCCCCCACTGTCTCCCTCCTCTCTGAGGCTTCCCTTTGACACACGCTGCATCTTCATCAGCATCTTTCTCTCACACACTGCCACTTATCTGTCTCACCTCCACTGTTATCACCTCCCTCCTCTTTACACACATAGGCACACACACAATGGAAACACCCCTCCCCCATTCCTCAGTGATAACATTTACCAGAATAGACAGTGTTACAGGTAGATATGTTGGCTGTTTGGACCTCCTGGACTATTTTAAAGTACTGGAGACCTCAATGCCAAATGTGTGTTGGTCAATGGCTCCTTTCTAGACTTACACGTCTTTTTGTAATCTGTCTCAATTTCATTCTAGTACAGTATGTTTCTCACTACGGCGGCCCCCCTCCGCCGCGGGAGCACACCCCTGCCTGTCAAACACCAGCTGCGGAGGGAAGAGGCCGTGTCCGAGGACTGCGATTGGATCCCGGGCTTGGAGGAGCCTGCCACATTGCCTATCAGTGACACAGCGGTGCCTCGAGATGAATCCTTCAGCCAATCAGCAGCCACCCAGTCAGCTTACCACAGCCATGGCGGGGCACTGAGGATAGTGCTCCTGGGACAGAATGGCGTGGGCAAGTCGTCGCTAGCCTTATCTCTGGCTGGGCAGTCGGACAGATCCCTCTCCATAGACTCTGAGACACAAGCATGTGGTAAAGATTCGGATATGGTTTTGGTGGAGTGTGTTTTTGTGTGCATGTGCACCTGTGTGTTAGGACTGGAGAAGCTTTTTTTAAATCAGTCTCAAGGTTTAACCTTAGATAAGCTTCATTTAGACACTGGAGTTAAAACGGTCACAATTCCTTACCGAGAGTTAGATGAGAAGATTGATACTTGATCAAGACTGATCATGTCTAGATGCTAAATATATTGCTGGCGCTAACATAAGCTTAGCATAAATACTGGAAACGGGGAGGAAAAAGCTAGCCTGGCTCTGTCCAATGGTAACACAATCTGCCTACCAGGAGCTCTAAATTTAATAATTAAAAGGTCCAGTGTGTAACATTTAGGAGGATCTATTGGCAGAAGTTGAATATAATATTGACAGGTATGTTTCCATTAGTGTATAATCACCTGATCATAAGAACTGTTTTGTTTTCATTACCTTAGAATGAGCTGTTTTTATCTACAAAGGGAGTGGGTCCTCTTCCAGGAAGGCCGCCATGTTGAACCGCCATGTTTTTACAGTAGCTCAGAGCGTACAAAGCGAACACTGGCTCTAGCTGGGGCCTTTACATTTTTTTTCCAAGTTTCGTGGCTGCCGTAGTTTCTCCTACATGCTTGGAATGGGAGGGTGAGGCAAGGGGGTTGTAATCTGCAACTACACCGCTAGATATCCTAAACACATTTTATCTTGTTTGTCCACAGCACAAAAACCAAAATGTAAAAATGATGTTTTAAAGAGGTAGGTTATGTTCTGGACTTCTTGGCAACTGATCTTAGACCCAGGCTAGATTATTCCCCCTGTTTCCAGTCTTACTGATGAGCTAAGTTAACACATGCTGGCTTTTACTACATATTTAGCATACAGACATAACAATGGTATTGATTAGTAGGTGGATTTTTTTGTGTGACCTTTGGACGGGGCCATGCTAGTTGTTTCCCACTTTTTCCCAGACTGTATGCTAAGCTAAGCTAACCAACTGTTGGCTGTAGTCTTACATTTAACGGACAGATATGATACTGGAATTTTATTATCTAACTCTCGGCAAGAAAGCGATTAACAGTATTTTCCAGTCTGGGTATATTTCTCTTTCTCTTTCTTTCTGCTTTGGCATCTGTCAGTCAGTAGGTCTGTCTGTCATACAGCTTACTGCAACACCGAGGATAATGAACTCCGGTCCTCAACCATCCAACCAGCCAATCGATAAGTCAGTGTCACTAAGAGGCGACCACTCTCCCTCATGCATAAAGCTGACTTACCCCTGACTCACGCCATACAGTATTCATTACTGCCTGTAGTACACTCTGATTCATGCATCATAAATGGACAAAAAAAAGCACTTTCATCCAAGGAGCCTGTTCACATTTCCATGATGGCGCTCTCATCCTCATCCGGAGTCATAGCAGTGTGCTAAATTATTCTATGAGCTACATATCAAAATTGCAAGGTGTAAAAAAAAAAAAAACACTAATCAACACCTATTTTATTAACACTTCTTCTGATAGTTTTGAGCAGATGCTGTAGTGCCATATTCGCTCCGTGAGAGGGATAACGCCTCACCAATCAATACGTGTCCTCACCAAGTAATTACCAGTAAAAGACAGCAGATTAACACCAGGAGATTTGGCATGCTCACGCCTCAAGATAGACATGTCATTCATCATTGTGGGTTTCCCCAACCTATTTTAAGCTGTTTTGGGTTAGGGTGCATTTTAAAGGCCACCATGCAATTATGGGTAGTGTATTTGCTAGAGGTGTATTGATAGTCAGCTCTCAGTCTAGCACAATACACAATACAGTGTTCATGGGCAGCCATTTTCACCTGTTTTACTTCTAACTATATATTTTTTCTTTTTACCTTTCAAGTAAAATGCAGCTTTTTGAAACATTTTCCTAAAAGGATACGTCTGTATTTTATATATATTTTTTGGTGTCAAAAGCTTCTTTTTTGCCATAAAATTATTAAAAACATGTTGCTGAGCTACATTGCTACACTGGGCAACACTTTCCTTCATTACTTTGAGCATGGATACTGTAGATTATTTTAAGTCCGTTCCGTCCCTTTCATCTTTTACTGAATCTGTTGTAAAAATTCAATATTGCAGCAAATGTGTATTAATCCGCTGCTGGAAATAGTCTCCAACAAATACAGAATTTACTCCCATTTGAGTGTCTTTTGCTAAAAAAGTACAGTGCCCAGCTGTTGTGAGGAATTACTGAGTCCTTTTCAATAATAACAATATATATCTGTCCCTTTTTAAGATGTATATCTTAAATCTATTCATCTAAAATGTACTAAACATTGTTGGTTTTGGTTTTCTTTTCATGGGATTTGTTGATCATAAGAAAAATCAAGAATATCTCCAGGCTTATCCTTTAAATTGGAGTATAAAATGTCTAGATAAGAATGTCTTCATGAAAGCTAAAGAGCAAATGTCTCAAATTGGCTGCAGTAACATTTTCCAAACATGTCAGTTGGCCACACAACCCAATTTAAACGTCTTCACAAAACTGATTTAAGATTTCTGGAATAGGTCAAGAACATTTTTAAGACCTAGATTAACTTGTCAACATATTCAGGCAGCAGTTAAGACCACTGACATTTCACTTTATTTAATACCGCAATTCATTTAGACTCCACAATGCATACCGTCACATTTTTGTATTGCGATACACAGCAGTGCCCCTAGCATTTAATGCTGGTGTCAGTCAGCGTGTGCTGTTTTTCACTGTGTTTGACATGAGTATTTGCTTGCAGGTGAGGGCTACGAGTGCACAGTGACAGTCGACGACGAGGACAGCAAAGTCATATTCTTCGACAACTGGAAACAAGTGAGTTATGGACTGTCAGCTTCACACCTCAGTCACTGTTATGTGGTACGGTCCAGGACTCCCTGTCCAAGGGTGACCCCTTGCCCTCTAAGCCAGCTTCTTCTGGTTTAGACGTTCTTTGCCTGGAAAAAGCAATTTGTTGTATTTCTGTGATGGGCAAATTATTTGTGTGTATTCGAGTGTAAAGAGTGTGTTCATACTTTTTGCTTTTATGTGTGCTTTTTATGTGTGCCTGTATGCTAGACGGTACAGGGAATCCTGCAGGAGCAGCTGGGCTCACTGTACTTCAGCTTTTTGAAGTTCTCTCATCCGGAAAAGTGGAAATCACTCTGACTGTTAACCTTGCTTGTTTCAATTCAAATATACAGTTAACAAGAACATTTTGGCAAGGGCTAAAATTGCTGCGGCTATGCATCACCAACCTTCTGAGCTGAACAGTGTGAATGAGTTGATGGGACCCTGTGGCGATGATTTTTGAGCAGGAACGACACGAGCTACAGCAGGCCGCGGCAGAGTACAATAACAGCTTGTCAAAAAGCTCCTTATGACACTGAGGACAATATGAAAAATCAAAAAGCATGCTGTCATTAACGGCTATTAATAATGTGATGAAACGGGAGAGTACTCTAATTAAGTGTGGAGGGTGGTTCATCCCTGATGCATCTCATTCCTGATGTCCAGTCGGCCTTCAGGGCTCTCCCCTTAAGGTTAAATTATTCACACACAGCTACATTTAGCTATGGGGAACTCCACTGGAAACTCACTCGTTTCTACACATCCTCACTTTCCCTGTAAGCTCTCACCCCCAATCTTATTGCCCTTCCTTCCTGCGGCTGTCATCATCTCCAAATCTCCCAGTCCATTCACTGTCTTTGTTGGTTTTTTTTGGCTCTTGCTCGCCTCTCTCTACTGGCCCTTTTCTGCCATGGTTAAATCTCACTGAGAGTTAATTACATTTGTTATTCTGTGCGTGTTAATACAAGGCAGGGCATTAAGGCTGAAGCAACAGACGCAGGCCAGCGGGAAGCTTGGAATAACTCCAGGGCTGTCAGCAGTGGGGGGAGGCAGAGAGGACTGGACAGCATCCCAAATCATCCGCCAATTCATGCTCATGTTTTTGTGCTTTTTTTGTGGTAACGTCCTTATATAAAAGACACATTCATACATTTTAAAGATGTGGAGACAGATGTTGTCCAGCTACCGGATACGTGTTGGTGGCCTTAAACTGGCATTAACCGCCAGTCCCAAGGGGCAGGGTTTCTGGCCTTGTAGCGAGCTGCAAGCATTCTCCACAGGGCACCCCAACCTACACCCAAGTTACCATAGCAACATGCAAAGACACACACTACACTCTCATGTACGCACTTGCAGGGCTGACTTAATCACTCACTCACGCATAAGATCATGCTAGAACAGTCAGCATCCGACGCTGTTGGCTGCTGGGCTTCATCCGCTCTCAGCCCGATCAGCACCTCATCATTCCCTTGCAATACAAACTGCCAAAAAATATGAAAAACTGTTGCATTCACATTCAGTGATTGCTCCTTCAAGTGCTTTCTTGGCCTCACTCACAGCTGATTGACACATGAAGGTCTTGCTGGAGCTGTAATTTTCCCAACTGCAGTGCAGAGAGTGGTGCACAACAAACTGCAGGTAGAGCTTACTGTAAGTGCAGAATCACATAAATATATATTGTCTGTGCTGACAGACGCTCCTGTGTACGTGCCCAAGCTGCAGCGTCATGTGTAAAACACACCAGCATGCACATACACAGAAGGCTGAGAGTCTGCTCAGCCAGACGCTGGGACGTTGCGAGTGTTGTTGAAGTCACGGGGTTGGATGGTTTAAATAAGTCATCCATGTGCCCAAAATAGAAACACTGGCACACTTGGCCTTGACCTAGCCAGCCCATTCTGTCCTTCGCCTTTAGACTGACATTGGTTGTGTAATGAATCTCTTAAACATCAAAGTGGGTTCTGCATTTAGGGAACCAAGTTGGAGATTGAGGTCACTGAGGACCAGAGGGCTTTCTCACCCTTTTCTCAGTGTCTGTGTGTCCGTGCATGTGTCTGACTTATTCCAAGTTCCGAATTTCCATTATTATTTGATAGTTTGAAATTAAAATATTTATTAAAGACAACCAAAAGGTGCAGCCTGAGGCTTGGAAAAATAGGCCACTGATGTGTATGTGTGTATTTATCAGCGTGCAGTGAGGAGAATTTGCTGCTGGCCCGGAGGACTGGATCGTTTATTATGTTAAAGCGAATTAGAGAAAAAGTCCAGGATGTAATTTGGAAGAAGATAATTGCTGCTTGACCACATTCTTTTGCACGATTAGGAGGGAAGAAAAACATCGTTCCACCATGCAGTTCTTGGAACAGGGACAGATTTTGCCGTTGTGTCCAGGGAGTTCCTTCCCTGGACATTTTTCTCTTTCCTGTTTTGCTATTCTGCAGCCTTATGAGAGTCGTTCTGGACTATTTACAGTTTCTCGTTTCTTGCCCTGATCCATATAAGCTATTATACCTTAACAGTGTGTTTGCTTTAGTCTCCACTGGGACTCACTACTGAGTTTGTTTGTGTGGAATACTCTGTGTGAACCAAAACCAAGTAATAGAAAAGTTTAAGTTGAAATCTCAAGTCCCGCATTATATTTCACGCATAAATATATCTTATAAAATAATATCAATTTTAAATGGAGTGTTCTAGATCAGGTGGATTGCCGACAGCATCTTCTGATACAGCTTTTCTTGAAATAATTTGACTAAATCTACGTCTTTGTCACTAAGACATTTGGTCACATCAAAGATTTCCACTGATAGAGTTGAACTGACAATGCAGCTAGTTTATCAAGTTTTTATCAATAATGATCAAAACAATAGAAATCACTTAGGGTTTGAGCTCTAAATGAATCTATCATCATCACTAATCTATCAACACACACTAAAACATGATGTGACTACAGTAACCTAGCCTGCTAGAAAAAGGAATTTCCCCAACATTTATTTTATTTTATTTACTTGAATTGGCATTATCTCTAAAGCTGTCATTGTAACGTTGAGTTAGGCTACTAATAATGACAATAAATCTTGCTAACAAACATTAACATGACGGAGCTGTCTAGCATGGTAGCTAATGGTAAAAAATTGCTTTTCATCAAATTCAAACAGGACAGAAAATTCTCTCAACTTTATTCTCCTCTGTAACAGTGTCACTTCACTCTCAACGGCTTGAATAGATCATCATACATTTTCGTTTTTCAAAACTTCTGATTGAGCTCTATATCATAAATTATTCAGCTCATTTGACCTCAGTCACAGAGCAGGCAGGCAATAAAGAGCCTGATTGGTCCTCCTGTGTGCATTTAACCAATTAGCTGTTGGAGCCGTTTTTAAACCAAGTTAGAGAATGACTTTGTAGGTTTTTTTATTATAAGGTAATGCCTAAAGCTAAACATAAACACAGCAAGCCTACACAAAATGTTACTAATGTAAGTTGTCAAAGAATAAACAAAAAATTGGAATATGTTTGTATAAATAATGCAACACTATTCTCCTGGAGGGAAATCCTCATGTATCCTCCCTCCATAGACAGGTCAGAGGTCAACCACAGAACAGCATCCCTGAAACCGGTAGGGATTCGGGGATTTGCTAATGGACAGTTCGGCAGGGTGGAGGCCCCCCATGCCGCCATATTAAAGCTTGAATCTGGGTCATGGAGAGAAACTCACTACACCCCCTTCCTGTGTGTGTGTGTGTGTGTGTGTGTGTGTGTGTGTTTGTTTGTGTGTGCGTGCCTGTGACAGGTGGTTGGATGGTCATGGCATAGGCTACAGTAGTCTGGTGCACTGCGGTATGTCTGTGCGGTGATATCAGCTGCATTCGTTGGTGATGTGGTCATTCGTGGTCACTTGTGGTCATTGGTGCTCGGCTTATGCAGCGCTTACGTGTGTGTGTGTGTGTGTGTGTGTGTGTGTGTGTGTGTGTGTGTGTGTGTGTGTGTGTGTGTGTGTGTGGTCTAACCAGGCCAGATGGCCTCTGTAATATATTTCCTTGGGGAAGCGTTGTCTCTGTGCAGCCGAAAGTAAGTGAGAGAAAAAGAGCAAACCCACCAACTCAGCATTCCATGTGCACTAAGCTTTGTCATCCTATTATCAGATTTTGACTTAGCTACCAGAGCAAGGTGCTGCTCTGTCTCTTCAACTTGCTTCTGCTCCTCCCTCCTCTTCCTTCCTCTTTCCTGTCTTTCTTTCATTCCCTTAATCCATCACCCCTGCATCTTTATTGATCCGCCTGCCATTTCATTTTGCCCTGACAGGCAGTCAGACAGATAGAACACAAGCCAAAGAATCAGATGTGTGCAAGGCTCACGTGTTTGCTTTTGATAAAGCAAAATGGTAGCATGAGCGTCTATGTATTTATTTGTGCATGTGGATGTTTGTGCAAGCAGGTGGGGATGTGTTTGACCTTTTGTTTCCATGTAAAGGCCGTAAGCTGCTTTGCTCATGTATCTAGTTGTGCAAAAGCAAATGGACTTGGGAGCCAATAGATTGCTGTAGTTCAGGTTCTGTGGGGAGCATGTTGTATAATGAGGAACACACACACGTGCCCATACACTCTTACAAAATATGGCCAAATGCTGTGTTTTCTCCCTTTTTTCACAACTGGAAGCAATAATAGTTTGAGTGCTTGCCGAGCCACAGCATGTTATGCAAATGTTGTCTGATAAGTGATTCATTGTACTCACTGCTAATGGTTACTGATGTAGTGCCTGGCTCTAGCAAGTTGGTGTGTGAGTGTGTTTTTTAAATGCATGGTAAGGTATGTGTGTATAATGTGTACTGTTTCTGTGCATGCAAAAAGCTTGTGAAGCGTATGAAATCCATTCCACTTTAGTGTTAGACGCTGTTTTTCAACCACAACCCAACTACAGCTTCTCACAGGACGTCAGACCCGCTCAAACCATGATAACTCAAAAAGAAAAGCCATGTCTGTGTGTTGCACTGATAAAAAACGGGGTTGGAAACCATGCTTCCTGTCAGGTTTTATTGGATGTGTTTTCCTTATCTACATCTGCGCCAGAAAGAGGAAGTCGTGGAAAAATTAATTCTTACAAGACTTGGTTTGGTCTGTTTATTGGTAGAACAGATAGGCCGGTCTGACTATACTGTGAGCCTTCTATTTTTGAAAATAACATTAATCATGCTATTTGAAGGCCTGAATGATTGCCCCATCGGACTGTGTTTAAACAGAGTGAGGAGCTGCTGCAGAGCGGTAAGAAGAGCTCGACCAGTATATACGCATAGTATATTTACATTGTGTGTTTATGTTATTTTTGTGGCCTCAGAAATTCCTCACTAGTGGTAAGTTCCATGAAACTAAAGCTATCAGTGAGATAGATAGTAAAACACAGTCATAAATGATGGGAAACAACATGAGGCACTTGGCAAAGACATTCCAGGATGTAGCCCAAAGCAGCAGTCTCCCACCAAAAACAAGGTCATTATTTATTCATAATTTCAATAAAGCCAGCATTGTAAGTGTAGCTTTGAATACAAATCAGGTGTCATTATTATAGTTGTGAACTTAATGTTATGTATATCTAAGTATGAGGACCTCAGTATTTGGAAAATCAAAATCTTTATATTTTCTGAAGTATTACAACACTAGATGGGCAAAAGTATGTGGACGCTTGAACATTACAGCTATGGTTGTTATATATAACATATAATTTCATAATCATGACTATAGTCTAAAGTATTAAAACCTAATGGTCCAGTGTGTAGGATTTAGTGGCATGTAGTGGTGTAACTGAAGATCACAACTCCCTCGCTTCACCTTCCTCTTCGCTCCTGTATAGTGTTTGGTTTGTTCCTTCAGGGCTACTGTAGAATCACGGCGACCAGGAAAGGCGACCCATGGCGTCTGTAGATAAAAACGTCACATTCTAAGGTAACAAAAACACAACGATTCCTATATTCAGGTGATTATACAGTAATAAAGACATACCTATGGATTGTATGTTCCATTTCTTCCAATAGAGACTCCTAAATGTTACACACTGGACCTTTAAATATTCTCCCTTAAAATTCCATACCAAACATAGGCTGCTAAATGTGTGCAACAAATTAAAATTGTGGGGGAAAAAAACATTGTTAGGTAATATTTATTATTAGCGTAATTATTAACACTCAGGTGTAGGTGGGGTCTGATCCGATTTAGTCAACAGAACTGCGAGGCAAACAAGGCAACAACTGTCTTCATCCTCCATCACACTGATTCGAATATTGCTAAATTCTGATTTGTTCATGGAAGAACGTGACGTCCCCTTTTTCTAACAGAAATCTCTCATGTAAAATAAAACCAAAACTGAAGTTTGGGTAAAAAGAATGTATTTATGAAGGATATCCCATAGCTTATAGTAAGAGGATGATTGAGAAAATAGGTTTTTAAGGCCTTTAAGATTAAGTTCCCTTAATTGGATCTGAGGGGCCTAGACCAAAACCATGAAAAGCAGCCAGAGACCAAAAGCACACTGAAGTATGTACGCTGAATATGTGTCCACATACTTTTAGCCATGTAGTGTAGCAAGGTGACGAGTGTACAGGAAGATGTCAATCGTGAAAACCTCACAAAGCCTCCAAATTTCTTGGAAAATAACACGAGCCAGAGAAATTCTTTGTTATTGAAACACTGCTCGCTGCTTTGTGTGTATTTGTGTTTGAATATGTGCTTTGAATATTACTGCGTGTGGGCTTGGCTTTTGTGTTTGTTTGTCAGTCCATGTGAATGTGTGTGTGTATATGGGGGGAGTAGGTATTGACAGATGGCCTGCTCTCTGTGGACGGAGAAGAGCTGCTTGATCGAGAGAAAGAAAGCGAGAGAAAGTGGGAGAGAGTTGGCACCTGAGTTGCTCTGCCTCTGTTTTTGATAGAGAGGCATATTTACTTGGTCACAGTTTTACTCCTCAAGCGTTCCATCACACTCCTAATCGAAGTCCACTCTGGGTTTGTACTCCTTTGCTTACAAAGATTAGTGTCTCTCTCGCTCTCTCTCTCTCTCTCTCTCTCTCTCTCTCTCTCTCTCTCTCTCTCTCTCTCTCTGTCTCTGTCTTGTTGTTTCCATTCTTCCTCTTCATCCCTGAATCAGACAGTGACAGGTGGTGGAGCCGCCTTCCACGCCAATGCCTCCCTCCTCCTTTCTCCGCTCCCTGTCTTTTCCTGTGCGCCGTCAAACAGACAGAGTGCCAAGGGGCTCCCCGTGAATTTCCTGCTCCAGGGTCTGATTCGATACTACTTGGCCGCTTTAGAAGCTGTGAATTTTTCAGGCGTCTGAAACTCTCTGGAGGGCAGGAATTTACCTTCAGGGGCTGTGGATGTAGGGCAAGGCCACCCGCATACTCACACACACACACACACACACACACACACACACACACACACACACACACACAGACAATACGCAGTCGAAAGCGAGCAGGCAGATTGGGTTATCTGGTGGGAATAACATGTTTTCATATTGATTTAGACACCAGCTCTCATGGCTTCAGACTTCTATTTCCACTTGAAAAACAATTTGATTGTGTTTGCTGTCCTATAGGTCAAAATTTTGCAGAATTTTAAAATAACACAATGAAAGTTATAGATTAAAGCTTAAACCAACCCTCAAACAGCATTTTACCAATTCCCTCTAAGAATGTTTACAGTTAAGTCGACAAAAAAGCCTCTGAGCTCAATACTGTAATGTAAACTTAATTTTCTGGTATTGCCCCATAAACAGTGAACAGTCTGTCTCACTCCAAGAAATCCATCTGGATATAAAACAATTATTCCTGTAGGTCTAATTCTATACTGGGTCTCCATTTAATCGACAGAGAATGGGACTTTGACTGGCATAACGCTGTGGAGTCTGGTCTCAGGTTTCTTTCTTTGGGAGAAAAATAGTTTGTATTGATTGTGCTTGTCCAACTTAAGATAAAATGTCAACTCCACAGGCCTGAGGCAGCATTGTTAAATCCAACACATTTTGAGACTTAAAGATAAGTGAAGATGCCAAGGCTTCCAAAAATGTGAAAATTGTGTAATAAGGTAAAAGAAAATGTGTAAAAAAGCACAAAACTTCTAAAACGTTCCATTAGATTCAGTGTTCCAGACATAAAGACACAAATCGTATTTCTGTAGCATCAGTGAAACCCTGGATCGAGCAGATAAAAATGTGGTGCTGTCAACCAGAGTGGAAAAATATTTCTGTGTCTAACTTTGCAGTGGAATACACTGTAAACACAACACTGGCATATTATCACATAGTTCTTACAACTGAAAGTTGCCTATTTACACATCCAGTAGACTATGGCAGTGTTTGTTTGTAGTCATATTTCTTTACACCTGGCAAATGTCCAATATTCATTAAAGCATATTTGTTGAATATGAAAACAGTACATAAGACAGATAACCTGTAAAAAAAAAAATCAGTGTGATAATATGCCCCTAATTTTTTATAAATGTTACCTACTGCCATTTTAAAATGGTGAAATTCATTCATATTACCAACAACCCACAGGGGGACACATCTGGCCCCTAAAGCAGCTAAATGCATGACTAAAGTAACCAGCTACATTGTCTGTCTGCCGTTCGGTGCTGGGCAGGAAGCGTACAGGCATTAACACTGTAATGTTTTGGGCCATAAAAGCAAAACAATGAGCTGATAGATGCTAAAACGCTCCATGGAGCTGAGGGGAACTTTAAAGTTTGGGTGATAATTCTCAGTGGGCTCGTCATGAGCGGCGACTTTAAGGGGGATTCTAGGAACCGCATTGTTATTGTTGTTTGGACATATTCCAAACAAAAACAGTGAATCATCTAAGCTACAATGCTGTGTGACACAAATGGTGCATACATAATCCACATGACCACAGGCTTCAGACTTAAATCCAAAATTGGATTGCATTTTACTCTGCACACCACGTGGAATTAAATGTATTAAACCCTGAGCCATATGGCAAAGCCCCTGCATGTAATATCACTCACCAAATTAGCAGACCTTTGACTGATGTACACAATATTATTAAATTAAATGATCAAATGATCAGCTGGGTGGGATTTGGCCTTGAATTCTGCCTGGATATGATCACATCAGTTGAAATATCATTCAAGTTACAGCCAGGAAACCTTGCCATGACCTATTTTACACCCATGAACCACCTTCGGTCCAATGCAAATGTTGCTGACAGAATCAGGGAGAGAAAGCGAGAGAGGACAAAGATGGTCCCAGGCAGTTCCAAGCTGCTGTTTCTGCTAGAGCCACTCGGGCTAATTGAGTCTCTGTGACAGGAAGCCCCGACGGGATGTTGGTGGTCACTGCTAAAAGGGTCAGGAGATTCAAAGTGAAGCGTGACATGCGTACAGTCAAGTTGAGCAAAGCCTCCTCTGCGTCCTCTCATGGGACAGTGATAAAACTTGAGTGAACGCCTGCCTGGCGTTGGCACTGATGTCCTTTCAGTGGCTAAACTCTAGCACAACAAACAAACAACAAAGAGGGACTTGAGATGGAATCTGAGAAAGAATAGGCAATTTGTCGATGGCATGTAAACGATCTTGTGCAATGCTACTTGACATTCCACACCTATTCAGCTGTCACTGGATCTGTCCATGATGTATTCAGTACTAATACACTCCACTGAGGTGTGTGTTTTATTAATGTGTGTGTTTGTATCCCCAGGACCTGTCCACTCTGCAGTGTGATGTGTGCATCCTCGTATTCTCAGTGACTGACAGGCGAAGTTTCCACCGCACCGCCCAGCTCCGCCTCCTCCTCAGGGAGTCCCAGCCACAGACACCAATCATCCTAGTGGGCAACAAGAGCGACCTTGTCCGCTCCCGTGAAATCAGCTCAGATGGTAGGTAGAGGGAGGGACAGGGTCAATTGGCTGTTAGCTGAACAGCGATCGTCCAGTCATAGCTTAGCAACAATAATAATAATAATAATAATAGTGCAAGTTCACACTAAAGAAGAGCTAGCTCAAAGTTCAGTTCACACAGATTACAATCAACTAGTTCATATTTCACATGTATTCAATAAGGTAACAGTCTCAAAAAATGAGTTTGACTCGGGTGATGGAACTTTGCAGCTTGTGGTTTAACCCTTTGTTGGTGATTTCTTGTGCTCATTATTCACCTAATGAGCCAGCGTTCCACCGTTTTGTTTTCCTCTCTCTTCAGTGGTTGTAAGCTCCATCAGAAAATGAAAGTGAAACTTTAGTTTAGCCTGGCATTGTTTCCCTGTATACTCCTTTTTTCCAGTTTTAATTGAGTTTTAACTCGGCAGTGCGTGAGCGTCATTATCTCTCGCGGGAGACAACACTGACGCCAGGTCTGTCAAGCTGTGGGTTTCTCTGTGTACTGAAGCGGTGTACATGTGTACTTTCCATATTCTAAGATAAATTGACATCCACCACAGCGCTTGCAATTAAAAACAGAAACCTTTGTGATTTTAACAAAGTTAAACAATGATTGCTTTGCGAGCACAGAGAGCCCAACTATAGCTCCCTTGAAATTTACAAGCGCTATACTCAACGTCATTGTATCTTCCTCCATATTCATAAAACTCACTATCGCTCTCTTCTAAAGTCATTTTTCCCTCTTTTTTTAACCTCTCAGAGAAGAGGTAAAAGAGACCTCATCTCTGCACCTCTCTGTCCAGCTCTTATTACACTCATGTCTGAGCCAACCACGGCCCCTCAACTCGCCCGTCGACTCGCTTCTGTCGTCGAGCCGGGCTTATTGGAAATGGATAATCAAAATATGGAATAAATAACTATTTGAGATTGTTTTTCAAAAGAGTTACTGTCCTTATATAGACATATAAGTGAGCCACACTCCATGCTGTTAAAAAATGTTGCAAGGCTGGATTTTGTTGTTGTTACAAATGTCAAGGCATTTTGAATGAATTAGAATTTTCGTATTTCTAAAAAGTTCAGGTTTAACTGAGGCTCTCTATTTTAGACTGCTTTAACTGGAAATAATAAAAAGTCAACTGAAGATTGAGCTTTCAACCAAGTCGTTAGCTTGATTAGCTAGCTATCTGCAACTAACAAACGCTGCCAGTGTCATTTCAAATGGAAGTCTCTTTTTTCAAGACTTTTGTCTACCTCTCTCTGATATCAAGGACCCATTGTTACAAAAATGTATAAGAATTTGTAGTGATAAAACTACCACCGTTACCATTATGAACTGCATATTGTAACCTATGTGCAATGCAATGTGTGACAGGCATAGCAAAAGTAACCGAGAAGCACAGAGATTACCAGACGCATTAGTTTGCATCTGCCCAGACACAGGCAGCAGTGAACAAACACCAGGCTGCTGTGTGAATGATGCCTGAGAAGAAACACATCAGAAAGATTGAAAATGCATTCTCTTATTTGCATATTTGACTTTCCAAGCAGCTCTCCAATAGCAAAATCACAAATAGAAAATGTCTTGTAATCACAATGATCTGGTAGATATTGAGGCTTTTTTCTGGTTGTTATAATGGATAAGAGGGCCTAAATGCCCAAAATGCAAATGTGTAGTTAAGAGGCGCACAATGAGAACAATGGTAGTGTGCTTTGTGCAATTACTCATCTATACCATCTATTTACTCTTTTTTTTGTCTTTCTGTCTTGGCTAATCTGTCTCTCTTCCCTGGTATTTTACCATAAATCTTCCTCTCAGCCAATGCCGTCTCCATTAGAAAGACTCATGGGGGATCTATCTTTGATCTGCAAAATCAATTTCTTCACTCTTTACAGTATCCAGGGAGAAATGCTCTCATGGTAAACTCCTTATGAGAAGCAAATTCTATCATCTTTTATTGTTGTAAAGGTGTGGAAATATACACTATGAAAGCCATTTGGCTTTTTTATGTTTTATTGTTTTACCACTTTGAATTACACTGGGTGTAATTTGACTTTTTGACAATGATGCACAGAAAGAAAACAAATCTACAGTTTGGGTAAAAATAAATATAAAACACAAAGTAATAGATAACCTTGATTTGACCATTTAAGTCCTATTTAAAGGTCCAGTGTGTAACATTTTGGAGGATGTATTGGCAGAAATGCAGTATCCATAGTTATGTTTTCATATAATAACATCATAATTTCAGGTTAAATACACCTGTATTTTTCAGGGAAAAATTACATTGTGAAGACAAAAGAACATTCCAAACAAATCCACCATTAATGATTGATTATCTCACAATCATAAGTGTCATACAAGGAGGATGCAAGATGGTCCACATTCAGTAGACTCAAGGCTGTAACTGCTGCCAACATTGCCCCTATTAAATATTGATGGGGATGAATACTTAATGCTGGTGATAATTTTGTGTTTTATATTTGGATTTAGATACATGCATGTGAGATTTGTTTTTGTGTGAGAGGTGTATTTTTTTGCTTGATCATTGTCAAGAAATGTCAAATTTCCTCTATTGTGAGTCAATGTAGTCCAAAGTAATTGTATTTTTACCGCATTGTGTAAGTGCTGCAACAATTCATAATACAAAATGAATAAATCAAGTGAATCTAATATCTCACTTTACTCTGGTAAACTTTGGTCTGTACGCTTTACAAAGATTTTAGGATTTGGCATGCCACACTGACGCAAGGTCTTGGCAAAACAAATTCACTGAAGAGGAAACATGCAGTGCTGTACTGAATCCACTTAGTGATGCTTGAAAATCCACTGAACACAGATCACACCACAGGCAGATTGTAATTTTGCTAGACTTTAGTGAGTGAATTTTTTATGTATCACTGGTGGGCCGTCCCATTGTCTGAACGTCATTAATGTTTCAGATAGAAAGTGGTTGCAGTGTCTGTAGTTGAAAGGGAGGAATGACTGACAGCACAGTTTCACCTTGATTTGAGCTCGCATTCACAGTTTGTATTGTATCAATTCAAAACTTTATGGTCACATATTCACATATATCACATATTTTCACCTTATCCTTCCCTATCTAATCCTCTGGAGGGGCTCCATCTTTCTGTGCCCCTCGGCTCCTCTGGTTATTGTTTTGTTTTGTTTTGTTTTTTTCCCAGATGGCATATCTCTGTTTGGATTATCTCTCCCTTACAGGACACTGCCGCTCTTACTATCTTTATGCATGTTTGTACTCGCCATACGTGCACAACTGCCTTGCATGTACACAGACACAGCGACGGCACAAACAAGCAGACGCACAGCCTCATCTCTCTCCATCTTCTCGCTGCCTCGTGTCAGCCAGGCTGTTTCAAAGCGAGGGCTGTGATAAGAGGGACGAGGAGAAGAGGAGTGACAGAAGGAAGGGCAAATGTATGAGAATTGTGTGTGTGTGTGTGTATGAATGGGAGTCTCAGTTGTGAAGAGATGTGTAAAACGCATTGTGTGTGTTGGGGGAGAGTAGAGCTTGTTTTGTTGTCCTTGAAAGAACCACTTTGAGTTTTTAGACCTTCAAACTGAGGGTATTTTTACAAAGGAAGGCTGTATAGGTAGTTTTATATCAATGCATTGGTCTTTCCATACATCCGTGAGGCGATGTTTACCTCTTCTTGGAATCTCTGTCTCCATAGCTTCCCCTGCCTGTATGTTATTCTGTAGCTCTCAGACAATCCTGACCTGCCTTTTTTGTCCAATTCTGTCCTTTAGTAGCGATTCAGAAATGACTAAATTACCTCCCTAAACCACTGCTGCTGGTCCTGAGAGGCTTTAAAGGTAAATTGTCTCATCTGCAATCTGTAGAAATTGTCAGTGACCAGACGTGAATTCAGCTTTCATATACAAAATAAGTCTAAATTATGACTCTTTACAAGAATCTGCCCAGATAGCAATGTGGTTTTAGTCTTCACTTGACTCAGCTTTTAACGTTAAAGCATTTCTGATGTTACCACAGAGTGAAATGACTCGCTGTGATGTTAAAATATTATTAGTCTATCGTGCTTTTACTTTTAGCTCTTTTTGAGTTACTTGAAACTCCTGGTCGTCTGACTGCAGATAGACAGACTGTCCCCGATATAGTCCTCAGGAGCTGGTGCAGGCTGAAGCAGAGCTAAAAGGAAGGGACGGAAACATGATTCAAATGGGATGCTAATGCTCCATGTGTGCTAGGTGTGGAGTAGTTTGCTAACCCGAGATGGGATTACTGAGTGCAGCTTTAATGCTGTTTGTGTAAATGACTGTGAGTTGGGGCTGCTAATAATAACAGAACTGTTGATTAGTTAACAATCAAATTTGATAAATCAGTGCTCATCAGCAATAACTGGGTCTCTCAGATAGCCTAATGTGTTAACTACAGGCCTGAACATGGGTAATGAGTGTGGAAATGTATTCTTGTTTATTTTTGATTTAAGATTTTAAATAATTTTGAATTTAGAAACAAAATAATCAGCGGCTGCATTTAAAAAAACATATACTGTATGCTATCAGACATAGTATAGTCTTTATTGTGCTAACCACTTTGTCTAATCCTCCAAGGAGTCAGGGTTCAGATTTAAGAAGATTTAGGATTATGATTAGAGATTACTTGTATGATTTAAAGATCCAGTGTGTAGGCTTTAGTGGCATAGCAGTGTAGTTGCAGATTGCAACTCTCTCGCTTTACCCTCCCCTTTCAAACAAGAAGGAGAAACTATGATGGCCATGAAATGCATGAAAAACGCGAAACACCCTCTCTGAAGCAAGTGTTTGGTTTGTCCCTTCTGGGCTACTGTGGAAACATGGCAGTTCAACATGAAAAGCCACCTGCGACCTCTGTAGATTAAAAAAGACTCATTCTAAGGGTTACAATTCTTACAATGATACACTAGTAAAACAGTCCTATGAATATTCAATTTTTAAGGTTTCAATCTAGTTGTTTAGGACAAGTGAAGCTGAGAGAAAGAACAGACAGACAGCGAGTGGAATCTTCTCATAAGGACATAAGAGTAGTGTGTGTGTGTGTGTTTCTTGTGTGGAAACCACAGTTTGAGGTGAAATCGTGTTTGCTTTGCTTTACTTTGCAAGTTAAACAGAGGCAGCAAGTGTAAAATTTGTGCACATCGATGCCTGCACATCGCTGTCGACTCAAGTTCGGTCACGGCTTTGGTGTATACTTAATAACACAAGTGGAAGGGGGAGGGAGGGAGGCGAGCTATGAATAATGAGAGATGCCTATACTCAGCATATTCTCTCTTCATGAAAAAAAAAAAAAGAACAACCCAGGAGCAAGAATGTGGTCAGCGATATGGAAATGCCCCGTCTCTGTTCCCAGGGCGCCTGACAAGGATGTTCTTATGTTCTCTCTGGACAGACCGCATGTATTCTGGCTGATATGTGAGCCTGACAGGACGCAGATTGGCCTGCTAGCTAACATCCTCCTTAAAGAACCTGGGCCCCGAGAGTGCTGGAGACATAAAGTCTATTTATGGCATATACAGTGACACTTTTATTCTGCTATTTCTCCCCCCCCACACACCGCTCTCCCCATCTTTAACACACAGTGATACACTCACTGTCACACTGGGCACATATTTATCATTTGTGCAATTTGGCTGTGGTGTGGCCCTGCTCCTCGGGGCTTTGATTAATATCTGGCTCCGTTTGCTTACTCGACATTCTCTCTGTCTGTCTCCTGCCTCTCTCCGTCCGTCTGCCTCCTTCCTCTCCTCCTGCTTGTTCATTTTATCTGCCATCTTGCCTGTCGTCCCCTCTCAGCATCTCCTTCTTCTGTCTTTGTGACTCACATGTTTCTTCCCATTCGTCTTCATGCCTCTCTCACTCTGTGTCTTCTTCATCAGTGTTTCCTTTCCTCTCATCTCGTCTCATCTCCTCATTTCTGCTCGCCTCCTCACTTAGCCTCCTCTTCTGTCCTTTTGTCTTTTTCCTTTCCTTGTTTGCTCTTTCCTCTCTTTTCTTCTCCTTATTTCTTCTCCTCTCCTTGTGTCCTCACTCTTGCTTCCTTCTCTCTTCTCCTCATTTCCTTTCCTTGTTCCTTCTCCTCTCCTTGTTTCTTCTTTGTCATATTTTTACCTCTCGTTTTTTTCTCTCCGCTCCTCATCTCCTTTCATTGTTTCCTCTGCCCTCTTCTTCCCTTGTGTCCTCTCTTTGTTTCCTCCCCTCTGATTTCCTGATGTCCTGTCCTCTCCTCATCTCCTTGACACCTCTCCTCCTCTCTCTTCCTTCCTACTCTTTATTCCTCTCCTCATCTCCTCTCCTTGTCTTCTCTATGCTCTCCTCTCCTCTCAAATTTAATTTCCCAAACACTCCTTTAACAGGTCATAAAGACTCAGTTCAATTCAATCAGCTGTTGTAGGTATTAGGATAAGCCCTGTTGATCTGGTTTGGGATTTGTTTTTTTTTCTCCTCCCACTCTTACCTCACCCACTATTAGGTGACACAGCTGTGGGTGAACAGCTGCTGTGCGGCTGGATTATTACAGCCTCATCAAATCCAGTTCTGTTTTTTGTAATACCTGTGTGACAGTCTAAAAAACAGATGAACAGGTTACAGTGCAGTGACCGTAGTTCAGAATATTAACAAGGTTTTAACTAGATTTAATGAAGCATGTGTATTTAATAAATGATATACAGGTGCAGCTTATGAATGGCTTATTTGTCTCTGTGGCTTTCAGCTGTGTCACATGGTCTTCATTAGCAGATGGATTTTTATGTCAACAGATCAATCTCCATGGCAACTGAGCAAACTGATGAAGAACATGCGGTTGAAAGGTCTGGAAAAGTCAGTAAGAGGACCTTGAATTTAGATTATGTCAAACTATACCCCAAAAATTCCAACTCAAGGTCTACTTGCAAGCTTTAGTCAAGTTCAATCACATGAATTTACACCTTGACATTTCTTTATAATAAAGTACAAAGGACAACCTCACTGATTAGACAGGTTTTACACAAACATATTACCTGCAAGTAAAATAAACATAATCATCCATTACACTGCTTATGCATAAAACACAGTAAATACAAAACATCAACGCAACAGTTTAGGTAATTATTTAATGTTAATGTTTGTCTCAGAGGAACATATAATTCTCCATTTGCCAATTCTAAGCTTCCAGCAGCGAATAATAAAATAAGAGTTAATGGTGATAGTTAATGGAAAAAGACATTTAGTCTCCGCAGTAGTTTTACTGAAATGCTTAATTTAAAATCACATTTTGGGCAGTAGCCACTTGTTTTTCCTGAAATTATTCTTTATTGAAGTTTTTAAGAGCTTATCTTATTTAATTTGCTTTACTTTTGTTCTTTGTTTTTATCCTCTGATGGGTAGGTGATTTGAGTTTTACTTAGAGGTATTATTGTGTAAATCATTTTTCTAGATAGACAAAGGCAGTGACCTCACACTTTGCTGTCATTTTGAAATTATGCTGTGTAAATTTTATACAGTTATTATGAATACCAATAATAAACCTTAAAAGCCTTGCGGCTCTGAGCAGTGCAGTGGCAATCAAATGAAGTGTTGCTGGAAAAAAATACTATTTGAGCTGACAATGAAGCGCATTTGTTGCAGAATGATCTGTATCTGTCAGCTTTCCTTATCACCCAGGCATGTTTGACCAGGAACAAACAGACGCTTTTAGCTGAGATACTGAGCCTTGTCAACAACACGTTTAGTCACCTGTCCTTATCCAGGAGAGTCACATTGAGATAGACAGCGTTTTCCCATTTGTGCTGCAGCCAAGAGATTTAAGCTGAACCCCTCAGCTAGTGGCACCATTAACCCCATCCTGTCATCACTAGCTCTCTCTCTGGCTTGTTGTGTTCATTTATAACTGACAGATTCACAAAAGGAATACACAAATCAAAATTTTAAAAACGTTACAATGCATTAAAGCCTAGTTATTTTAATTGGGGAAAAGGACATTTTAATGTAACATTGAAAATTAGATGAGAATTGGCATAAAAAACACTTTTTATTAATTGAATATTGTCTGTGTGGTGTGCTTTGCCGCAGGGCCTTTATTTAAACTAGTGACCAGGTTTTTTTTTTTCTTACAGCAGGAACCATGAAATCTGGATGAAAATACATTTAAACCAATCCACACAAAATCTGCATATTTTTCATATTTGTGAAAAATCCAACTCAAGCTCCACTCATCAGCTTTTTACAAAGCTTTTACTCATCTCGTCTTCGGACAGCAGATAGGGTTTGCTCGATGGTTGTGGAGATGGATCTGTTATGATTTCAGCAATTCACTAGACCATGGGAATTTAGTTCGATAAAAGAATCTCAACTCAAGGTCCACTTACTAGTTGTTTCTGTTGTTGCTTTCAACTGTATGACAATGTCCTTATCTGTGGATGGAGGTTGCTCAGTGACAGGTAAACATATCTATCACCACGACAACTGTGCATCCATCCAATCACGCAAGGTGTGATCTGGTTGAAATCTCCGGAGAAATGCCAGTAAGTGGACCTTGAGTTGGGATTGTTTAGTCTTTCAAGTTTATCTTAAGCTGGAGATATACTTGTCTTTTAGCCAACTGTTCTCATTGTGGACGTGGTGCATTAATTTCTGAAGACACACAACCTAACAGTCCAAACGGACGCAGGATACTGGAGGCAGCAATCATGCATTATATGTGATATATATAATGTAAATCATTCTTTAGTATGAGTACAGGCATGTTTTGTAGTAGTATCCATTGTAACATTTCACACTTCACAACTCAGACAAGATTTCAACAGTGCACTGAACAAGAGGAGTGTCTCTTCCCCACACAGTGAGAGGCTGTAGATTGACTCCATTTGTCACAATTTGGTGCTGAAGAAGTGACAAATTAACACCTAAAAGAGTCTCCCAAACAGCAGTGTGGGAAATGTCAATCCAGAAGTATTATCTTGTGGTGATACACATCACACAGCAGCTGGGTCGTGGTTTGCTGGTTTCATGATCTGATGTACTTAAATTTCAAACTGCTGCCTCTAATCATCAGTTGCAGCTGCCAGTGTGTGAAGCCTCAATTAAAATGTAAAATGTGCACAAACATTTTCTTAAAACCTATCTTCCTCTCTCTCACCAGAGGCCCAATCCAGCGCCATGATGTTCGACTGCCTCTACATGGAGCTCTCAGCCTCCCTGGACCATGGCACCAATGAGCTGTTGGAGGCCGCAGTTCGGACTGCGAGGGGCGACTGCGTAGGCCCCGGCTGGACCGACGGGGACCCCGGGGCAGGCCGCAGGGAGAGCCTGACCAGCCGGGCCAAGCGCTTCCTGGCGGGTCTGGTGCCACGCTCGTACGGTCGGGACCGGGACCGGGATCGGGGGCGCTACCGGGAAATGAGCCGCCACCGGGGCAGCAAGATCCTCCGCCAGAAGTCCCGCTCCTGCCACGACCTCAGTGCACTGTGACACACACACACACACACGCATGCATACATAAGGGCAAAGAGACACAAGCCCACACATGTACACACATGTACACACACACATACACACACACCAGATTGAAGGTTATTAGGGATGGGCAGGTGCAAAAGATGGAGGAGGACAAGCGGGTAAAATGGAAGATAGTTGGGAAGGAAGACTAAATATAGGGACTAGAAGGATATGAAGGAGACTTGGACAATTAGAGATAAATTTAGCAATGGCGGATAAAAGAAAAGGGAGAAAAAGCCTAGATCAGCCTGGATCACAGCACTGAACTTTCATCTTCTCCCTCTTAGTGAAACCAATTTTGAGAGAGAAGGAGGCCAGGTTGGAGAGGAAAAACAGAGAAACAGATAAGGAGGTGAGCAGCATGGGTGAATCAGCGAGCACTCATTACCTGATGAGAGCAGGAGAGAGAAAATTAGTGACAATGCATAGAGCCATGCTAATTAGACGTGTGGTAAAACGGGAGGGTGATGGGTGGTGGGTGGTGGGGGGGGGCACAAATAAACACACAACGAAGTAGCACGCACTGATTATGTAGAGACTGATAGGAATCTAATGTATACCTATTGTAAACCCTGTTTTATAGCATGCCGAGTAGACGATCTAAGACATGACCCTGTAGGTTTTACTGGATTGACTGTACCTCAGTGGCCAATAGCTAATGCACAATCTAGCTAGTGTCTCTAGCAATGCCATCTCAAAGGCAAGACCCTTTATTTGTAACAAAAAAAACCACAAAAAAACGCTCCTTCTCTGCGCATTTTCTTTTCCTTTTGTCTCCAGTAACTGATTTGAAGAAGTGTTACCACCAATGGCATACGTTCATCTGTGATTTTTATACAAGGATAAAAACATCAGCCAAGCCATATTTCTGCTGAACGCATTATGAGCGATCAGCACAAAGAACCCTTTACCGTAGGATGTGGAGTGAAAGGAAAAACAGTCAAAATAGCTACAAGCAGGGATGACCAGACTGAACTTTTCTTCAATAGAAGCTGAGTCACAGAACGCTGGGATGTTCTTGAAGCACAGGAGGACAAACAAGAGAAAACCTAATCTACCTGTGGCTGTTTGATGTTTCCATTTTTCTCTTTTTATCCACTGGCATTATTGTGTGTGTTGAGACTGGATTCTGTGGGGGCTGGCCACACAGGTGACCCAAAAGAGAACGTTCTGGAAACGTTGTTCGGATATCTCGCCAAGCGTGGCGACGTCACTGACACATACGCACTCGTTTGTCACCGTCTACTGAGCACTCTCATCTTTCCACTGAGAATAAATCAATTTTTGTTTGACGTCCTGAATGAGTGTCTTGTCATTTTTTTTTATAACAACATGAATGTCTCATTACAGCCGTTACTAGGTGGAGGGATGGCGTGACAGGTCATTGGATGACTCATGGGTCTTCTAGACAGACTGTGAGACGGCATCTCAGGACAGTTGTTCCATTTAGGACGAAGCAGCAAAAAGATGCAGTGTCAACACTTTGCGGCTGTAACAAAATCTCAGGTCGAAAATAGATCGTATCAGGGGAGAATATGAGACAAAGCAATATATAACTGTTCTGGACTCCAGATATATGCAGCACACATGCAGTTTGGAAGATCTGTCAGGTTACCTGCTTAATGATGGGAATGTAAAAACCATGAGGCGTCTCCAGCAGATTCTTAGCCATGGTCCTCTGTGGCAGGCTGTTCTGCATGAAAACCCCCACAGCCTCTTACAGATGAACTCCAGCACCCTTGAATTGGCACCACCTGTCATGTTCCAACTATGGTCATTAACATAGTCACTGATTATAAACTGGATATTATTTAACACTGTTAATTGAATAAAATGTAGATTGCTACAATAGTGTTTAATACACTTAAAGTGTCAATTTTTTGCTTTTAGGAGCTTGGTCAAGTTTGCTGTAGGGCTGTCCCCTAATACAGTGGTGCCCAACGCGGTGGTAGCACCTGTATCTCAGCATTCAGCTTACTTCTGTAAAGAAATGAAAATGTAAAGTAAATTGTTGAGTAAATCGAACAATGGCCAAGCATCAGGGACAAGAAAACACAGAATTTGTCAGAAAAGAAGCCCATTAAGTCTATATGACTGTAAAAGGAAATAATCCGCTCAAAATCCATCCAAATCAGTTACTGAGTTCACTAATTGTACAGGTTTGAATACAATAGGAAATATCCATAAAATATGTCACATGGTCAGTGTCTTCAGTTTACTAAATGGTAGAAAGGGGTCTAATATTCGAGTAAATTGTTAATTTTAAAGGCCTTGTCACCGGCAGCACAGACCGGTTCTCCTGTAACACAAATACAACTGTACTAGCTGCTGCTACTACCTATTAGCTGACTGGACCCGGACTGCCAGCTCGAAGTACTGGGGGAGGATGGTTTACACAGTAGCAGAGGTGCTTTGGTCTGCCGGGGATTGGGGTGTAATGAGCACCATAACCAGGTTGGGGCTAGTTGACTATTGGCTTAAAGCAAAAACTACTAGTCGACTAGGAAACTCTTTTTATTTTTCATTTCTTACTTACTGTTCATTAATTACTTGTAGCTCTCTGCTAGTTCTCTGCTCACTTGCTAACTAACCTAGTTAGCACACACTCAGTTGCAACATGTGATGTTCAGGTGTTGGCTGACTCAATATGTGGATAACGCTATATGATAGAAGGAACCACAAATGAAGACATTTCTAAAAGTGATATCTAAAAACTAGACTTAGACTTCTCTTTATTGATCCTTTTAGGATGACTCCCGCAAGGAAACTGAATTTCCAGCAGCTTACAAAACAGTGTAGAAAAATACAGTATATGTGTGTGCATGGTATCAAGTATCACAAGAGGTCCAGGAATTTCTGTGTTCTGACCTTATAATCTTGCACTTCTAAAGCTAAATGAAAGCGACCATAGTCTCACTGAATGTCGCAGTTTGATAAAGTTGTCATATTTGCCATGCAGTCTGGTCTAAGAACAAAACACGGTATTACTTTCCCTCCCTCCAAAGGAAGTTGGGGGGGGGGCATAGGGGACTGTCTACTGCTAAAAATAACTATGCAGTTGCTGGTTACCTGAAATAGTTCCAAAAATAAGGTTAGCTGCGTCAGTAAGATGGATGATTTATGGATCGACAGTCCTTAAAACAACACTTTTGAATGAAGTAGGATTCAAAAATACTAAAATCTAGTCCCTTTTGGATCACCTACTATTCCCCGTCACTAAACAGTAAACTTCTCTAATACTATTCCTTTTACACAACGCACTAAAAAGGGATTTTAGTTCACTGGTTGGTAGTCTCCAAAAAACAGTGACACAAATAACTATGAAAACATCTCTCAGCCCCCCACTTCGTTCTGCTCCACCCTAGTTTCAGCAGGTGTAGAGATGTGCCTCAGGCTAAAAAGCAAGAGCCCCGTTTTCTACAGCCGATCACATGAGATCACATCACATAGCTTTCAGCCTGCGATGCTGGTACAGTAACTATCTGGAGTGGTTAAATGGGAGGACTCTTGAGAGGAAGGCAAACTGGCAAAGAGGCAGAGGGGTTGAGGAGAGAGAGTCAGAGAGAGGGAGAGAGAGACGGGGTTGGAGAAATGCTTTGAGGAGTAATGGTTGCTTGGAGACTGTTGTCAAGGAGACGATGAGTCCTAGAGTCCTTTGGCATCTCAAATGTCCTATATTTATGTTGATTTTGAGAAAGAAGAGGGTTTTTTTGGTTTGTTTTGCTTTTCTTCCCCAGTAGGTGAATAAGAGACAGACGGCGATAAGCACACAAATCAGGGGAACTCTTCAGAGAGCAGGGGATTTAAACAATGTGTCTCGCAGAACGGACATATAAAGCATTTTATCACAGTTAAACAGGTCAGATAACTGTCAGATAATAGCATGCATATGACAGCTCCGCAGAAGCCTGCAGGAAATAGAGAGGAAAACGAGCACAATATGATACGATTTCTTTTTGTGACACCCTATCAGTCTCTCAAATCGTGACAGAAATACTCCCTCTCTCTGTCTTCCTGTCGCTGACTCATTCTGTGGGCATTTACTGTGATTTTCGGGCAAAAAAGAATACTTCTCGAGAGCAGGGAAGACAGAGGGAGCTTAAAAGACCAAAAACCACCTACTGTGTGCCAGAGAAAGCCTGTCGAACTTACTCCTCACTTTGCACCAAAGAAAGACTATTTTCAGTGAGCACAGTGCATAACTAATGAGATGCATATTTTCCTGAAGTGTGGGTGTAGTCATGTAAGCTAGAAGGTACGATTGGAAATGGTCTGTGCGGTGTATCTGGGGATAGACAAGGGCACGTTGAGGCTGCGGTGATTGCCAGACTCTGGTGTGGCCAGACACTGAGTGGCATTGAAGTAAGCATTGCTGAATCCCTTGGGAATCCATGTGATTTGTTTTCAAGAAGCAATGGTTCATTGTACCCCAAAGGTCATTGTTCCTCTGCTTTGTCTCCCGACTGCACAGAGCTGATTATACATGCACAGAGCTATAATAACCAAACAGCAAAAGGGAGCCAGTAGGAGCCAGACCAGTCTGGCTTCAATATCACACACGTGTAATTAAAAACTGGTTTGGTGAAAGCAAGAAGCTCACAGTGAAACATCAGGCCAAGTGATTGTAATAGTGGGTTGAAGGCACCAATCAACCTCATTATGGGCTGAATGCCTTATGCAGTGCTCCCATCGTTTCCAGCAGTGTGGGTTAATCACAGGTCATAAGGGTGAGAGCAAACCATGTGCTCTGCAAAATACGGTAAACTATAACGAGATGCCGTTATTAGATTAGCTTCGATCTCGATGTTGGTTCGCATGGATGTAATAGGAAATGTGTGCAATGCATCAAGTAAAACTAGTGTCTTAGAGCAGTGATTCCCATGCTGGGGGTCGGGACCCACACTAGGGGCTGCCAAAGTCTTATAGGGGGTCGCGAGGCCTTCTTGAAATTAAGTGTAAATGTAAGGAAATGTAAAGTATATACACAGTAGGCCTATATGTCAGCATATTGTTTATTTCTGTGAAAAAAACTGAAATATATTTTTAAAGTTTAGATTATTTAAAATATAAACTTTGAAGATTTGAACACAAGCTATATTCACAGAGCCTTTACTCTCTGATAAACAGCCTCGTCCTGCATCAGAAAAGTTCAATCAACCAAAGAGCAGAGAGAACAATGGGCGAGCATCAGAGAGAGTATGAAACTGAATTTGTCAGAGGCCTATTAAGTAGTCACAATTGTTGAAAATAAAAAAGACATAAAACAGACTGAATTGTATGAAAAGTTCAAACTCTTCTCTGGTGTAATACTCGCAGGAAATAATCTGCTCAGAATTCATCTCAATTGCTCATTTTACATAAACATCCTGCAGTTATTGTGTTCACTATTTGGGTTCATTGTACAGCTTATCGGTTGTTTTGTACTGTTTTTGTTATGCATTGAATATAATATGAAATCTCGATTAAACAGAGAAACAGTCAGGGGTTGTCAGTTTACTCAATGACAAAAAAAAGAGTCCCTTGAGGAAAAAGGTTGGTAACCACTGTAAAAATATGCCTGCACCTCACAAACACTTAAGTTAAAGGTCCAGTTTGTAACATCTTGGAGGATCTATTGGCAGAAATAGAATATTCATAGGTATGTTTCCATCAGCGTATAATCACCTGAACATAAGAATATTTTTGTTACCTTAGAATAAGATAAGATGTTGCTTCTTTGATCCCTGTGGGAGAAATTCAAGACAATAAATGAGACGTTTATATATACAGATGGCACATGTCGCCTTCTGTGGAGGCGCCATGTTTAACCTCTCATGTTTCTACAGTAGCCCAGAATGGACAAACCAAACAATGGCTCTAGAGGGCGCCATTTGTGTTTTTTGTGCATTTTGCGGTCACCCTAGTTTCTACCTTGTGCTTGGAAAGGAAGGGTGAAGCAAGTGAGTTGCAATCTGCTACTACTAAACCCTACACACTGGACCGTTAAGGAACAGTAACTAATATCTACTAATATCACACTGTAAAACTACTACTACATATTGCACCACATTGACTGACACACCATTTTATCTGAATGCACTGAATTTAGAGCATGAAAGCTGTGTAATATATAGTGTCCTCAAAAATCCCCACAACGCAACAAAAAGGTGTCCGTGGCAGGCTTTATATTCTGCAAGAGTTGTCCTTCGGTAGATACCCATGGTCTACCATCTGTCAGTCATCCTGAGTAACCAGTACAGTGCTCAGAACAGACACTTTGATGTTGAGTTTTCAAAAGTAATAAGGTTTACTGGCTTTGATCACTGCAAACTAAATCCTATTCAGATTAATTGTATTGGGGTGTTCAAAGCCTTACTACAAAAACCCAAACTATCTTCATAGTTCAATACTACTTAGGCTAAGAGAGAAAACCTTTTTTGCCCCTGATTTTAATAAATGAATGACACATGCTGTTTCAATCTGCTCTCTAGTTTCTGCCATGCTTTGTGGTGTGCAGACATATTCCTAAACACTCTCTGGCCAGAAAAATGGAAACGCTTTTAGGATGTAATCCATCTTTCATCAATCTTACTTTTTACACATAATTCACATATATGGAAGGGAAATATTTAGAAACATCCTACAATAAATAAAACATGGCAACACCACACAACCCAGACCCTCAAAATGACCATACAGTTGAATCAGCACCTCTCTGTTGAATGAACATAATGACAAGTTTTTACAAAGGTATTTATTACTACTGAGTTCAATAGAATTACAGTGTTAAATGTTTTTTTTTCTGTTACATGTGTTAGCCCTTAATATTTTGCCTTACAATCTCAGAATAAGAATGAATGTCTTTGTTATAATGGCTTAAAAGGCACTAGAATCTGAGCCCTGGAGGCTTTCTATAAGGTGGTCTATACCTGACATACAGGGAAACTGTCAATACAGTATTGTCCAGTATGGAAACCTGCATGACTGTGAGCAAATCAAACTGTGAATGAATTGCCAGTGTATTTATGGTCTAGGGGTATGGTGGCCTTTGTTGTCGTTTTCACACTAATAACACGTGCTGACTTGCAGCGTGGCTTCTTGGCCCTGTACATCTTCCAATCGATATGTAATCAATGTTTTGCTCTGTGACTAATCCAGTGCCTCTCCGACAAGACTGCGACAAAAGGAGCTCACTGCTGAGGGACAGAACGATTTCTGACAGCTTGTATTTGTTTGTGTTTCCATTACCAAATTATGAGGAAACGTGACATTCAGAGGAACACGAGAGAATCAGAGCATCAAAGGTTTTCTGATTATTATCACACCCACTTCAGACTGACATTTCTTTCCCGAATGTCTGAAATATATTAATCTGCTTTAAACATATTTAACATATGTCTGTATACATGCATACTGTATTAGTTGTGTTACGGTCAGTCTTAATCAGCAGTACTAACGGAAAAATGTATGTATTGTCAGCTTTATGTCTTTTTATCAGTTTTTTGTGACTTCTTGTTCACACATTTGAGCTATTGAGCTACAGCGGTGTTCGTTTGACAATCTGGACCACTGGGCAAACAAGACTAAAGAATTAACATTACACTAGCACCTCCCAGTGGCCATGTTGCTCCTTACATCAAATACCACAAATGTGCATTGCCATTCTTTGGGATCCCAGCTCTTGTTGAGGAGTTTAAAAAAATCCAACACAAATGAAGAATATTTTCTTCTTTATTATTATTTTTTTATTCAATTACAAAGTAAAAAATACTAACAGATAATTCAAGTAAGTATTTTTCACTCAAGAATGTCACTGAAGAGCTTCCGTTTCTTAGACTCGCCAGTCTGTATTTCCTGCCAGTGGGCTTTTCTTCGGATGAAGTGGGAGAGGGCAAATTTGGCCCATACATGACGAGCAAACTGATCTGACCTCAGCTGGCTTTCACTCCCCACTGGAAGGGAAGGAGAGATGGGGAAGGAAGTCATTAGTGGGGATGTGAACTACAGGCAATGTGTAAAACAAACAAACCAAAAAGGATTTGTGCAATGATATATTACCTAGGTCCTGTGCGATGCTCTGCCTGTGACTGACTGAAGCGCTGTTCCAAATGGCTTCCAACACCCGGCTGCCAGACCTGGAGCAGGCCATGTGCACATACTGACCCTGGGAGGGAAAAAAGATGGAGAAAGAGCGATGATACATGCAAAAATATGATCTGTCTAACATGAGACTTAACAAGTACACAGCCACAAATAGTGAGATTTTCATAATTTTCGAACAGAAATATAACAGAAATCTTCATTTCCTTGCATACTATCACACATAGAGGACTTAAGTACAGGGGAACACAATTACAATGCCATGAGAGTAATTTCATTTTTACACTTTAAACCTTGACAACAAGAGGTCAGAATCAAGATTTTGAAATTTAGAAAAATCTTGTAAACTAAAAATAAAACAGCTTCTGCAGTTTCTTGTTGATAGCTGTCCATAGTGTTGACAAGAACAAAAATGTGTGCTGATGTATGTGAACGAAAAGAAGAAAGAGATCATGTAAACGAGTGGAGACTTCCTGGTGAAATATGCTTTTAATAATTTTTGTTATATACAATATTGCAATGTTTCCTTTTATGTGACTTCCAACTACCAGGTGAGCTATCCAGGTATTTGGGATATTTTTGATACATCTGATGCATTACTGTCTCTCTTCTTCTATTTATTTCTATATTATATTTATGCATGAGTTTTCATTGTGTACTGGTGTTAAGTGTTGTGAGATGTTTATCACTCTGGGTGAAAATTCATAAATATTGAATAAATATCAAATACTGATATTAGATCGTTTTTCAAAAACCTACTGTCCTTATGTAAACATTTAAAGAGAGCCACAGGACATACTGTTGAGAAATATTATGTTTGAAGGCTGTATATTATTTATTAGCAGTGTTACAAATGTCAGAGGGATTTTGAAGGGGGCTTTTCTTACTCTTGGATCAGAAGCCCAAGACTTGGGCTCTCTTTTAACTGAAATTTCACGTTTACCATCTCCTCCGGGGACTACAATCTACATACACAAGAGCAGCAGCTACATTATGTCCCTTGACAGTGCAGTTACTGGTAGTGCTCGACATTCCCTGATGAAATGAAGCAATGGCATGGCCTAACATGTCTTAATGGATAAGGCTGTTGATATTTTATATTTTTGTTGCAGTCAACAAAGCCCATTAAAAGACCAAAACCAACTATATCCTAGTTTGTCTCTCAGTACTTTCCAACCTCCCCAGCCTGTCTGCCTGTCTCCAGGCCAATTTGTTCCCACTGAGGATATAAAAAAAAAAAACACTCACAAAAGTCCATTTCATTTAAAAAAAAAACAACAACAACTCGTACCTCCAGTCTCTTGAGGATCTTGCCTCTTCCCTTGTCGCTGGATGTGGTGATGAGGGCCTGGAGGACGTGGCTGCCTGCAGGGTCAGATGCCAGCGTCAGGAGGTCAGCGGGGGTCAGAGTACGCAGGCTGCTGAGAAGGAGTGAGCGTTCCTTGAACCTGGCCAGCGCCTGGACCAGCCGGGAGCCGTGGTAACAGATGGAGGACAGCGGGACCTACAAATGATCAGGAAGACCACAGCTGTACCTCATTGAGTCTGCAAATCAATGTTCAGTTCTCAACGGGCTGCTTGTAATTAAAACTGAAATGTAAAGACTACAATTAAATCCAGCTACAAATGATTTGATTGGACTTCTCTCAGTTGTTTACCTCCGTCTGTGTGTTGCCCTCTGCTGTGTCAGAGTGGTAATACACCTCATAGGTGATCAGGGACATGAAGAGAGGGAGGCAGTTAACGTGTCGAGAGCCAGGCTCAGCACAGTGGAACGCCTGGGAGGCAACACATCAACAGGGTTTCCATTAGCCACAAATCAAACAGTAAGTAGTTTCATCGTGGTGTTATGTACTTTTGATTTCAGTCATAAAGAAGGAGAAATAAATAGAAACAAGGGTGTTGTTCTGTTGATTTATGACCCATGTGGACTGTTCTCAACACTCTTTGGCGCTTACATGGAGGAGGCACTTCATCAGCTCTTCTTGTCTTTCCTCGCCTTCTGCACAGCTCTCCGCCAGCTGGACAATCACACCCATGTGACCTGCGGCCAAGATGGCCTCCACGCCTTGGATCAGCTCATCAAACAACCTCAGGAACTGCAGAGAAATAAAGAGAGAGAGAATGGAGTCATCCTTGCGATGACAAACAATTCTGACTTTTATCCTGCACCGTGTGCACACGCTGACATTATGACCAACCATTTTGTATTTGGCTGAGGCTGCAGTCAGCCTCTGTACGGGGAAATTGGCGATGGGGTGGAGGGCCAAGTCCACCAGCTGGCCCATGAGGTGGTTCTTGTAGAGGTCACGGAGAAGGGACTTGTGGGACAGCTGTATGATGGTTTCAATGAGGCGGCTGGAAGCCTGGTCCTTGAGAAAGACCAGAAGTGGACTAAAAGGAATGCAAAAAACAAAAGCAGCAGTTACATAACATTTCATGGCGACTCAATCCTGGACAAAAAGAAAACAACACGAGAGTCGTATCTGACCTAACTCCTGGAGCGGCACTGCGACTTGTCAGGTACTCCATGATGCGTTTGAGGAGCTGTTTGCAGAGCTTTGGTCGTTTTCTGTGACACACAGTCAACATGGTTTGGAAGACTGCACTGGCAGCAGCATCTGTCACACTTACTATAAAGGAAAGAGACACAATGGGAGATTAAATGCTCTTCAAACTTTCGGCCAATATAAAGGTGTCCTGTGGCAAACAAATGATATGACATTCAGCGTTTCTCACCATCTGTAAGGCCTAATAAACATGTTGAATGAATGTATTTCCTTCTAGAGCTTCTAAAACCAATAAATCTACCATGCATATATTACCGTATTGCAGGAATCAGAGTGTATATGTTGGTAGATAAGTATCAAGAATGTGCAGTACAGAAATGTCACTTAACTACTGTATGTGAATTGTCCCACTCAGTATGTATCAAACCAATGAAAGGGATCTGTAGCAAGCGTGTTTATGTTATGTGTTTACATTACAAATAATAGTATTAGATTATATAGAATAGACAGATGATTTATTTCAGACTAGTAATTTCTGATAATTACTAACCAAAAGCAGAAAGCACCAACGGCCCTAGTTTACCTCCATACTCAGAATGCATTTAGTGTCACATTTGAACAGAATTTACTTGATGGTGGTTGTATAACTTTATTGGTCTATTTAGTTGCTCCGGCTGTGCCAGCCTCCATCACTTCTAAGGCAGACTGGAGGAGCTGCATCTCAGACGCACAGGTTCTCCCTCTCTAGTTATTCAGACACTTCTGTTGACTAGACACTGTTCTGTTCAGTGTGTTCAAAAATGAGTTTGTGACTGTGCGCAGCAGAGCTCTGTTATAAGCCACTTAGGTTTCCATGCAGTGTGTGCACTTGTCCCTAGGTTATTCATTGACTATTTAACTTTGTTTTGATCTTAAACCCACAAGGTTGGAGAGATCATATAAATTCTAAACACAATCTCGACAGCGTTCTATTCAGAAAAGCTGCCCTTGAGCACCTCCACTTTGACACTCCTGAGAGTCCTCACTTGCATTTAACGGGCTTTAATGTTTTTCTGATTACAAGAAAAATGTCAGAGCAGTCAGTAGACTACAAGAGGAGGGAGACAGCACTGCTGACAGCGTTTGTCTGGCACATTATTTGAAATACTCTTACAAAAAGATCATGGGGCATGCATTTCAAACCACAGCTAAAACTAAACAAAAAAGGGTTTCTGAAACTGGTAACAATTATTTAAATAAATATGGAAAAACTAAACCAAAAATGAAAGCCTGATACAGTCAATTTAAGACAGAAAATGTGATATTTTAGGATATTTACTGTTTACACCCCAGAACAAATTAGATGTATATACAGGTATTAAAGTTAAAAAAATAAAATAAAGACAATACCCTTTGCTTTGCAATATTAGCATTTTCCCTCTGTGATAAAATGTATTTTAGCAACAACTATAACAAAAATACGTGTGCTTGTGAATGAAGAGAGATGTCTCACAATTCACGTTGTCCATCAAGGTCTCCGTAAGGTTTTTCAGCTCGTACCAAAAAGACGTGGGAATCTCAAAATCTGTCAGCTGGGGGACAACGTTGCGTTCTTTTGCACCTAGAAACAAACAAGAATAACAAAAGATGACATAAATACAAGCTAAAAGCAACAAAATTCAGTGTGTAGAAGTCCTGACACACTGGCCCGGCCTCAAAGAACTCACAGTGACGGGAAGAAAAATAAAGCTTTTGATCTGCTGGCTTTCATGTGGTGAAGAAGCACACAGAGTGGGTGAAATCACTTATTTTCTAGCAGCTCAGACAGCTCTCTCTCGGTCTGCTAAGGGCTGACTAGTGCCAACGTTGCCAGACACTGGGCAATGTAGGGTCACAGACATTCAACAACAACAACAACAGCTTGACGTGTGATATTGCGGGGAGGTCGTGGAGGGAGAGACGTGAGGCAAAGAAGCTGCATTAGGTGGAAGTAAAAGGTGCATGTCAGTGTTCTGAAAACAAAAGGAAGTTATTAAAAAGGTATATAAAAGGTTTTGTAGCTTGGCTGCTGGGTTTGGCCACTTATCAACACAGGCAGCAGTTGGAGCTGCAGCAACAACTGTGAGTCAGAACTCTGAAAACTGAACACACAGATATGATGCAAATATTTATAGATTCAGTGTGACTTATACTTTCCAAGAATATATTATCTCCGATGTCCATCAAAAATAATTGCCCATAAATCTGCACAGATATCAGAGAAAAAATACGCTCCGTATAACTCCGGAACTTGCCTGAGAATCAGCACATTTTTATGTTTTCTTCAGTATCAGTGATCCAGTGACAGTCCACATGTACACTGCAAACAGGACGTGCTAATAACTAATTCAGCATACTTTCTATGATGCCAATTTGTTGATGCCAAATATAAACAACAAAAAACAGAGCTCAAGTTGTAGCCCAAAGCTAACCGACTAAACCCATTTTCTGGTTACATCCCCCAAAGCCATCAAATTATTGGAACCGTAGGATTATCTACCAAATAGAAGTGAGACAAACAACAAGAACGAGTGACTAAATCTGTTCATATTTTAACTGAAGCTCAGAAGTTACAAGTTCCCATAAACATAGGGGGCTTTGGCTGGAGGCGCAGTTGTCCAACTTTGAAAATCCCTGTGTGTGTGTGTGTGTGTGTGTGTGTGTGTGTGTGTGTGTGTGTGTGTGTGTGTGTGTGTGTGTGTGTGTGTGTGTGTACCTGGACGGGTTTCAGTGCGGGGCGGTCCAACACAGCCTGCCAGCACATGCAAGAGTGTGCGGACTACGTGTGAGCCATGAACATGTTGGATGAACTCTGCGCTGTTGTCTCTCACCACATGACTTAAAGACAACACCTGGGCCTCCAACACCCCACAACTCTCTTCCTCTTCTTCTGCGGGCGCCTCCTTCTGTGACGACTCTAAACATGAATGGATACAGAAGAGTTATTACTGTTGTTATTGTGTGATTTTATCCATTCACAACAAGGCACATTCATACACTGATGAGCAGTCTACCACTCAGAAATGAAACATGCAGTCTTACCCATCAACTTGGACATCTGTCTGACGGCGCTTTCCACCACATGGCCGCCGCACCGGTCGCAAGAAACCGTCTTAAACTCGGCCCCCGATTCTCCTCCCAGTTCAGCCAGCACCTCGCCCACCTGGTCAGGACTGGACAGTGGGAGCAGCCGCTGCAGAGTAATGCTTCCAGTCCGGTCCATCGCAACCAGGGTCGCTTTACCTTTAACTTCTGTGAGGACATTCTCCACAAACATCTCTACATGAGAGGGAACACAGTAAGAAGAGATTATGCACAGTTAGAAATGGTGCATTTGATATTTAATGACAAATATTAATTAGAAAAAATAGAGATGAGAAAGTTTGACAGTGGTTAGAGTGAACAAAACTCTAACAATAATGGATTTGGACAGATGGAGGCAGCATAGCTGGCTTGTTATATTTGAGGTAAAATGATGCAATGAAGCTGCAATAGCAGGATAATGTTAAACCAATTAGAATCCTCTAGCTCAAGCTCAAGCTCAGAAACTTCAATAACAGATTATCTGGCCAAACAATGGATCAACTCAATATGCTGTGCAAGTTCAGACAGAAGTAGGGCACTGTTTAAGGTGGAGCTGAAACAATTAGTCAGTTAAAGGAAAATCAACCGTCAACTACTTTGGAAAATCGATTAGTCAGTAATTTTTCAAGCAAATATGGCTTCCTCATTCTCTGGTTCTTGCTTCACAAATGTGAGGATTTAAAGTTCTGCTTTGTCGCATTTGATAGTAAACTGAAACCCCATTTTGGAAAAATGTATTGATTATATTTGAAAATAATCAGCTAATTAATATATAATGAAAGTAATTGTTAGCTGTTTAGTGTTGTTGTAGTGTTGATTACAGTGTAGGTACCTGAGTTTTGAGACTGACAGAAAACCTACTGATGCTCACTGATAACTTACTTTGAGGAATTTCAGCATGTTTTTCTGTTAAGCCATTCGTTCACTGAACAAAAGAAGCCAAGCTTCTCAAAGGTTAAATGTCTAAACACAGGCAGCTGTGCCAAAATAAAACACAGTCCAAAGTCACTCAAAGAATGCGGATGTCTGATTAAAGTAAAGACTGTGAATGTGACTGGACGTTTCAGAACTTGACAGTATTTAATTCACATTTCAGCCTGTAACAAAAGAATTTTCAGCATGTTTAATTCCCAGCTCTAGTAGTAAGGGTAAGAAGACGCCGCTACATCATGCAATTCATGCACCGTGCGCCTGGATAATATATTCTTACTTATTGCTTCTGCCTTGTAATAAAATCAGATTTTTTAAGTATGAAAGAATCCTGCTTTACTGTTATATTAAACAATGATTCAATTATGAAATTACAATGTCTGATTTCATTTAATTTTGGATTTAAATGAGAGCACGATTGTTTTTTATCATAGGTTTTTTTTTTTTGTCCAACCAGTTCCCCAGAGATCTTTAATGAACTGTTCTGTGAGACAAAGAAAAGCAAGAAATCCCTTTTATGAAACTGAACCCATAAATATTACGAATTTTACTTGAAATATAACTAAAACGATCAGTCAGTCATGAAAATGGTTGCCCATTAATTATTGGTTTAAACTTCGCCCAGACGAACTGGCAGGGGATTTTCCATACCCCAACAGACATCACAATGCTAATATCAGAAGATGGCTTTATCATTTTCTTTTCCCCATATAATGCAGTTTAAAAGCACAGATTTTATTCTAATATGATGGTGTACTAGTGTAATGCGCCTTTTCACGGCTGCACATTCCCAACTTTAATCATCTTCCATTCCTCTGCTTGCTCAGATCTCCAGAAAAATAATCCCTCTCACCTCTCTCCTCATTATCTTCAAAGCCTTCGCTGAGTCGCTCCCCGACTCTGCGGAAATAGCCCACACTCAAGGCGTCCAGACGCTGCCTTCCGCCGCCTGCCTGACCCTTTTCTCCTTCTTCTTCTCCTCCCCTCCTCTTCCTCTCTCCTCCTTCTCCATCTTCACCAGGGTGTCTCCTCTTATTTCCTCCCCCTTTCAGTGGCTTCCTCTCCTCTGCTTTTGCCAGCATAGCTCAGACCTTCCAGCATGCAGGTTACAAGCAGAATGACTTCTTAAAGAGGAGGCTCAGTTTGATCTTCAGGCTGAAATAGGGAACAGGTTAGAGAGATTAGTAGTGTTAGGTGTTAATAAAATACTGGGATGTGATGCAAATACAAGTCTTTTATTTATAATTGTATTCATAATTATGAATTGGTATTTGATAAAAAAAAATCACACAAAACAAACTTTGAAATGAAAGTACACTAACTAAAACTGCCAAATGTGGAAAAACTGGCATTACATTAGAGGAAGCCCTTCTAAATAATACATTTTAGGTCAAAATGAATAAATAAATTGTGTTTTCTGTTGCTGTTGGGTATGGCAGTACTAACTGATCTAGCAATCCTTCGGTGTGGAGAAATCCTATGTAAACAAATGGATATATATATTTGCTAGGTAACAGCAATGTGTGCCGAATTCAACTCTGGCTACTAATGATTCAGAAAATGTCAAAAGTCATCTTATACGAGGCCACTGTAGAGGCCGATCAGCTGTGACGCGTTAAATTGACATATAGTGGAAATGGACTTTGGCTAAAAGACCGTGTCCATGCTAACTCCCTGCACGAGAGCTGTAACACAAACTATAGCTCGACACATTCAGCTCAATGTGTACAAAATATTAACTGAAACAAAAATCATTTATTGACGGTAAGAAAATGCAGTTTAACTCACGTGTGAGCAGAGGCGGTGTGTTGTGGACGCGGACTGATGACGTGGTAGTGGGCGGCGCCTACTGACTACCGGGCAAGTTTTTCTGGAGGCCTGAAACTTAACGTTACCTTTGTTATTTTGGAAATACTTTTCATGTAGTTCTTTATTTTTAATAAAAAAATACATATATACTGAATCACTTATTACTTTACCCCCATTCCCCACAAACAAAGAAATACCACCCTAATGTTCCCTTAACCAGATTACATTATCATGCCCTTAGAAATGACACACTAGTTATAGTTCTAAACTTACCCATAAAAAACTAAACTAGGATTTTAGATGTGCGACTATAGCAGCTATAGGGTCCTTTTTCTTGGACATATTAAGGCTGCAGCAGTGGCTGTGTTCCTTCTCTTGTGACTGTAGTATAAAATTTAGTGTAGGTTGGTGCATATTATAAGTTATTAATCAATTAATCACACACTAATCACAGAAAAGTTTTCTTATGCACTATGGTTTGTTCACACAGATAACTGGAAATCAAGTAGAGAGCACTATGTTTTAAGTAATGATGATTTTGAGTGTTAAGTAGAATAGATTTATATAAGCTCACAAGGATGTTAATGAAGGCATTATGTTTTAAGTTTATATGATTTCATGATAAGCACAAATACAAATACTGTTGATGAAGTAGTAAGCACCATGGTTATTTAGTAAAAGTTTGATTTAATGTGTGGAACATATAGAATGTGTGGTTGTAACACAAGTTTTCTTATCATATTATAAACTTTATAAAGTTTTTTAAAAATACAGTAAAAGACATCTGTGACATAATGGTGTAAGGAAAAGGTAATAAATGTTTTTTATAAAAAATAGAAGTACAGTAAACTAGATTCTAATGGTGTAATCCTGATGAAAGGAGAGCAAAAAGAAAATGTCATGGCCTACTGCTGTAGGCCATGAAGCCTGTGGGTTCTGTGATAAGAACATAGGCCTGACGGTGCAGGATAATTAGGCGAGTAAGACACCAGTAGGATGGAGCATGGGCAAAACAAAGGCAGGATAATTGGACTGATAAGACAATCAGTAGGATGGCGCGTGGGCAAAACAAGGGCAAAATAATTGGGACCCACATACTGGTGAAGATTTAGGGTCTTTCCAGAGTAGAATTTACACCATTATGTCGTGGACGGAAAAGGTAGAAGGTGGGCAGGACTTGTGACAGAGGGCAAAAGTATATAAGGAGAAGCTTTGTGAGGATGAATTCAGTCTTTCCATGGATGGCTCGGGCTTTGTTTGTCTGTCAAGATAATAAAGCTCTATTCTACTGCCAACTTTGATGAATCCTGGTTGTTATTTTTCCACCTGAAGGAGAATAACTTTAGACCTAATTTGGACTTAGAAAATCGTATGTTGGACACAATCTTCTGATCAAAAAGAGAACTCATTCTGACCAAGACCCAACATGACCTACACACACATATCTGCAATGTACCTCTTGAAAAAAATGACTGTTGCCTATTACTTCTGAATTATTTACATCTCTGCTGCTGTAGTGGACAGTCTGCAGAATTACACCAAATACACTGAACTCTAATTACACTGCACACTGCTTAAACATGCATGTGATTATGTAATAAACAGAAAATAGTACAAATAAATGTGTTTGTTGTTTTATGCTAATTATTTGGTGGTAATTAAGGTATATATAAAATATGACGTGTTTTTCTGCCTAAGATAATAGGGCTTTTTTTTAAGGGCTTTTACCAATACAAAGTAGTGATATCAGTATTGATTTTGCTTATGCTGACCCTGGTATTATTTTGTGATATCACCTCTATTGATCATTGCTGTGCTGTTATAAAGTGCACTGAGCTTTGGTTGTAACCACCGGAGGGCAGCATGGTTACTTCAGGAAAATAACCATGCTGCCCTGCCCTTCGGAAGGAAGGAAGCAATAACCACCTCACCTCCTTCAAAGAAAATCAGTGTATGTGTTAACAATCAGAGGTGTGGACTTGAGCCCAAGGCATGTAACTCAATCAAAAAAAGTACTGAAAGTAATAGTACTAGTGATTCGTGACTTTCTCAGGGCCTTTCAGGTGAAAGACCTTCCCCAAGCACAAAGCAGAAAACCTTGGTGTGCCAGCTGTATATTCCTTGGGAAATAAACAGCCATTTTTCAGTTTATATGCATACTCGAATGCCACCAGCATGTGTTTTTTATGAACTTTTTAATGAATGATTATACAATTGTGGTAGGATTTAATTTAAGTGACAGAAAAAAGAGAGGTAACAGAATGAGAGTCTGTGCTGGTACCCTCACTGAATGAAGACATTTCATTTCATGGTTAATAGAATTGCCAGCAAGTGCAAGAAGAATTTGGTCCAAAAATCAATTAGAGTGCTCTATTGATTCTGTTCATTCAGTTAGAATAGTTACATGCTCCCCATCTCCTTCTCTTCATCTTTGGTTTAGCTCTGTTGTTATTTTTGCCTGTACAATCATTTTACAAGGCAGTACTCCCCCTCATGTTATCACAACCTGATGGCTTTATTGTTAAAGTCAGTGGCACACACTTTGTTTAATTCTAAAAACAGACTACATTTTCTTTCATGTAGAGTTTTAGACACCAGACCAACACATTTCTCTCATTTTATTTACGACTAAATAATGGTATGTATCTGCTCTGTTGCTATTTACATCTGAAAACCTATTTAAAATTAGGTTGAAGACACACAATCTTAAGTGCAGGATTTTGCACCTGTGATTTGCTTTTGACTTGCGAAATAACGTCCCCTCTGTAACAATAATGACAGCATTATATGAGATGTGACATACCCCTGGTTACAGTCAATGCTTGGGTGTGTAGTTAAATGAATCATTGGTGAGGTAAGTTGAGATGTTATCATTTCTGATCAGAGTGGAAACAGGGGACATGTAATACTTTCCACAAGCTGCAAGAGGAGAAGAAAGTGGAATATCTTATATACTGAATATGCAACACTTTTTAAACACTCTCTCCAATGTACACTAAGGCTATAGGGATTCATTAGATCTACACTGATTACAAAGAAGGAGATAAATAGGAGTAGGGGATTTTAGTTGGTCTGTTGGTCCACACTGAAGTATCTCAACAACTATTGAACGGATTCCCACTGAATTTGATACAGATATGCATGTTCCCTTCAGGGTGACTTGTAAAAACTTTGGTGATTATAGATGAAATTTTCAACAATAATCTGGTCAAAGTTTACTTTGTCCATTACTGTGTTTTATGACTAAATATGTGTGCTAATTAGCACATGTTAGCATGCTAAAATCCTGAATTAAGATCGTAAACGTTGTGTAACATCAGCATGTTAGCATTGTCATTATGAGCATGTTAGGCTGCTGACATTAGCGTATGGGTTATGGTTGGGGAATATCCTTTAGACAACATAAGTGTCATGATCCGTTCCTGGCTTTCCGTCCTACTGCCAGTTCTGCCAGTACTTTTCCTGTTCACCTGCCTGCCACTCTCACCTCATCAGTGCAACCACCTTCACCTGTGTTCCCTCACCTGGTTTAAACCCACTCTGTTCACTCAGTCTCTGCCAGATTGTCTTAGCATAATGCAATGCTGTGGCTAAATACAACCTAATAAAGCTGCAAGCATGATTGTAGACTCTTAGTCTGGTTAAACACCGCTGGAATGCAGTATAAGAAAACTCTAATGCTTTGCACAGACAATATGGAGAGAGAACAAAGCTGGGAATAAAATGTACAGTATTAAAAAAAATGCCTATAATAAATGAATAAATCTTTTAGTAAATACTTTTCAGGAAAGAACATATTATCCTACCTAAATGTGTTCAGAAAACCCATTGCTTTGTCTTTCATACACAGAGGAGAAACTCAATCTTACATGCTCAAGATTTTTTTGAATAGTGAGGATGGGGGGGTTCAGTGAGCAGAGGCAGAGCAACAGATAAATCATTTGTTCAGCAGCAGAGCTCCCGTTGGCTTTGTCTGTTGTTGTTCATCTCCAGAGCAACTGCAGCGCATGAATCAGCCCCTGCAGCAAACTGTGAGTGAACACTGCAATTGATTAAGACTTTAAGAGTCACATAGGCGTACGCAGACACATTTCATCACACCGTTGCTCTTGATGTCACAGACTGAACCTTGTTATGAATCACACAAATCTGAGCATCAGCAGTGGCAAAATAATTACACTGAAAGAATTCCTCAGAATAGTAATCCATGACATTCTCTAATCGGTCTCTGGTTTGGCTGCCTGTAAAGATATAATCTTTTGTTGGGTCATAACAGTCATGGAAACATTATCGCAAATGCTTTGATCTTTTGACATTTCATTTACTGCCCTTAATAACAAAAAGTTTACATCAGATCAGAAATTGAAAAGCTGGTGTTAAATAAACACATTGGGAAATAATTAGCTGTTTTGAGAGTTAGAGGAAGAAGATTGGAACCACGTTCACGTCTGTCTAATACATATAAAGCTACAGCAAGGAGAGCATTAGCTTTAGGTCAGGCTTATTAACATGTTGTATCGTGTGTTTAATTTGTATAAAAAAAAAACAAAGTATTTTGGTTTTACGGGAGGTTATGTGCTGGACTATTTTAGGTTATTTCTAGTTGTTTCCCCTTGTTCCCAGTCTTTACGTTAAGCTTGGCTATTTCAATTGTTCACTAAGAGTTAGCCTGACTGTCTGTTAAATATGAAGCTACAGCCCAGGAGGCTGTTAGCTCACCTTATAGACTGCAGACAGCTAGAAATAGCCACAAGTTTTTTTATTTTTCATTGTTTTCGTACCAATTAAACAAACAAAATACGTGTTAATTAGTGCGCTTTAAAGGTGCTGATAGGCAGAGCGCATTGAATGGTTACACCACAATGTCACATCGCCTTTGTTGCATGCGATACCCCTCTCTCTTCCCCGTCAATAAGGGCAAAAAAGCCCCGAAAATAGTAAAAAAAAAAAAAGAAGTGCTGATGTGAGATGTGTGTTTATCTTCAGACTGAGGAACACAAACTGTTTCCTCCTGCAACCAGTCTTTATGTTAAGCTATGATAACCGGTTAATGGCT